ACAGCAGATCTCCGTGGTGGGCCCGTGTACGGCTTCGCCTCTCCCTTCGGTGAGACTTGCCGATTCCTAGAAAATGATGACAACAAGCGCAGCAAGCGCACAAAAAGGACACCGCGCGCTGACAAAGCCCAGGCCAGTGACCCCAAGATCCCCTTCAGTAGCGACCAAAAGTTGTAGGCACTGGTCAACCTGGCTTATGGCCGAAGCAGAGACTGCCTGGAAACTGCTCAACTGCTCGGGCCACAACGCTTTCGGTTTTGGGTTCAAGATTTAGGCTTCTCATGTTACCAAGCCCGAAACCATGCGAAACCCTACTCCCAAGGCTTCTCTTGTCGTGGCCATCACCCTGTGTGAGCAACAGCTGGAGGAGCAAGCTGAGGCGCCTCCTCAACCTCAAGGTTGTTGGAAAGGGGTCTAAGGGTTTGTGCGGCTTGGGCTGTTTGGGCTTGAGCCTTGTGACTTTGAGGTTTCGGGAGTTAATGGTTTCGGGGCGGGCCTTGGATTAGGGCTGTGGCCGGTTTCGCGTTGAGGGTTTGGGAGTTTGGGGGATTTGGGGGCGTTGCAGGTGCCTTTTTTCTATGTCGTCTTGTCAGCAAGTCGTTTATAGCCCCGAACCTGAGGTATTAAGGTTGGGCATCATTCATACCGCAGGGCTCCGTGGCATGGTCCTTTTGGGCAGCAAAATAAATCATGGGTCATGCGGGGCTTGTGTTCGGCTTTGGACAGGACGGGTCCGGCGTGTTTTTTCCTAGGTCTGGCTCCATATGTTCAATGCAAACTAGATTATCCCCTAACATGACCCACAATCTCAAAAAAACGCCATAAAGCTAAAAAGAATTAAATACATCAAATGCACATGAGCATAGCTCAAACAAAGCAAAGGCAATACTAATGGAAAAACAAATGATCATAGTTGTGAATACGAATGCTGTTTTCATTGTAACTATAACCAAAACTCGACATATAGTTTATACAACTGAAGAAGCTTTAGAATTTACATTTGCAGAAGCAACACCATCACCAGTACCATGTAATGGTGATATGGATGCATTACGTGAAGAGAAAATAATAGCTTTTATTATGGATAAAGTTCAAGATATCCTGCAATTACAACATAAAAGTAAATCATTTTGGGAAGATGTATTTAAATGTGGTGGATATGTATCTGACGCGGGTAAAGTACCTACATTAGCACATCAAATTGAAGATGCATGGGAATCACGACATAACCTATATTCGCTTGATTCAGGAGGGTGTACGTCGAGGACATGATATACCAGTGGGTCCACAGATGGCGTACGCACGAAAGTCCCAAGAAAAAAGGGGGGGGGGGGCCCCAGAGGCTCTTCAGAATTCCTCGCACGCATGTTTGTCAACCCAAGCCCTGCAAGGATGGTTTTTCTCATGCCAAAACTCGCTTAAGGTGCCTGAGTTTACGCAGCACAGGTTCCGCAGTCCTCCATGGAAGGGGCTTCCCTCCCCAGCATGACAAGCGCCTGTCAAATACAATTTTCTTTGAACATCCCTACCCTTTCTGAATAGAAATATTCTGTCCAAATACACTTTGGGGTTGGGCACTCCGGGACACTCTGGGGTTGAGCACTCCAGGACACTCTGGGCTGGGACTCCAGCACACTCAGGGGCTGGGCAGGGACACTCAGGGCCTGGGCACTCCAGGAACAATTGGCACTCTGGGGTTGGGCAATAGTTCCGGGCGAGGAGAAGAGTTGGGTTTAAAATCTAACAACCCCATACCCAGGGTGAGGAAATACAATATGGTATATGGTAAAATATCAGATAGCGCCAAATCATCCAACGCAGTATGATGAACAAGAAGCACGATAACTTGCAGAATTCGATGAAATACGCAGCAATGACACCATTAGTAGTCACGGCCATTTTTTCTCCACTTGTTTGTTCATACTTTTTTCCTTTGGTAGCTGCTTCGTAGGTGAGCCACAACGTTTGAAGGACGACCATGGACGCACTGGACGCGTTGGCCCAACATGCGTATTTCTAGAAGAAGCAACAACAAGCGAGATGTTGACTGCTAATTACAAGAACGGCAAGAATTGACCAGAGTTGCTTGTTGTTAATTTCAAAAATTTGCTTTCAAGTGTATAAGCAAGCAATTCAACAGCAAGAGTTGGCAAGAATGTTGATCACATCCTGGAGCTCTGAAGTGTGAGAACGATCTCTTCCTCATCCTTGGCGTCGCAGCGTCGCGATGCGGAGACTCGACTGTTCAAGGGCATTGCTCTTCGCGACCTTCTTCCCCTAAGCTTCCGGGGACCCCGGGTTGCTGCGGTCGCCTTTCCCCATGCTGTTCTCGAGGACTATAAACAAACTTTTGCAAGGGTGCCCACCCGTGGCTGCAATGCAGTTGCTGATGTTGTTCCAAAGCCTGCAATTGCAGCGCAGCGCACCTTCCTCTGTGTGGAGGAGGAGGACTCGCCAGGTAGTGGCAGAGCGCGGGCCTACACCATCTGAGCTTCGCCTCGGCGGATTCCATAATGGTACTAGTTTAGGGTGCTGGCTCCGCAACATGTCTTCAAACGCTTTTCGGGTTAAAGTTTAGAGTGCCTTCTCAGGTTTTTTTAGTTTTAGGATTGAGGGTTTAGGAGGTTTCGGGGAAGCCCTTCCGAAGTCTGGATCTTCTGAGCACTTTAAGCTTTTCACACATTGTTGGAGACAAGTTTGCACCGCTTACAATAGCGGGGGGGTTGAGGGGTGCGTGCAGCCATTTTGCAAACACAATGCCCGCGTGATGAGTTTGGGGGGGATTCGCATGGTCTTGAAGCAAGCTTGCACGGCTGTAAAAAACGTGGCTTGGTGTGTGTTTGTGTGTGTGTGTGTTGCGCGTGTGTGTGCATGTGTGTGCATGCGTGTGCATGTGTGTGCGTGTGTGTGTGCGTGTGTGTGCGTGTGCGCGTGCACGTGCACGTGCGCGTGCGTGCGTAGAGAGAGAGAGAGAGAGAGAGAGAGAGAGAGAGAGAGAGAGAGAGAGAGAGAGAGAGAGAGAGAGAGAGAGAGAGAGAGAGAGAGCGGGAGAGAGAGAGAAGAAGAGAGTAGAGATAGAGAGACAGAGAGAGAAGAGAGAGAAGAGAGGGAAGAGAGAGAAGAGAGAGAGAGAAAAGAGAGAGGAGAGAGAGAGAAGAGAGAGAAGAGAGAGAAAAGAGAGAGGAGAGAGAGAAGAGAGAAGAGAGAGAAAAGAGAGAGAGAAGAGTGAGAGAGAGAGAGAAGAGATACAGAAGAGAGAAGTCAGGGAGGTCAGAGAGAAGAGACAGAGAAGAGAGAAGAGAGAGAGAGAGAAGCGAGAGACAGAAGAGAGAGAGAGAGAGACAGAGAGAGAAAAAACAAAAGAAATTGATTCAGCGATGTCATTCAACATCGTCGTTGCTGTTCCGATCTTCAACTTCCTCTAGGACATGAACCCCAAATACCACGCTTGGGACTGCCTTGCCTGGCCCATCGCTCGATGCGAATGTCCAAGGAGTGTGTGTATGTGTGCGTGTGTGATCTTGGGGTAGTTATATGAGCCCTAAGCCCTTGATTGGGGAGCCCCTCTAGACTCCTTGTGTGACCCATTATACACTTGACGAGTATAAAGCCCAGAAGCCTAGAAGAAAGGTCAGGGACCTTCTTGAGGACATGCAACTACCCTACCCTTAGATGCGTGTGCGATGTTTCATGACCGTCTGGTGGAAGGGTGGGCGAGGGGGCGAGGGTGGGGTAGAGGGGGGGGGGGGGTGTTGTTTGGGTTGCGAGCAGCTTGTCAATACCAAACATGATTGCCGTCCAGGATCTGTGCGGCCAGTGAGGTGAGCGGAGCATATTCTGCCGATGCCATCTCACTCAATACCCCAGTACCCCTTCGGGGAACGTTGAGGAGCTTGAGTAGAAAACGGCAACAACCAGAGCGGAAAACCGGGAAGCAGCGCACAACATACCCCTTGTAATTTGCAGATGCTTGTGTCGTCTGAGGCTGCTGACACTCCGACTTCCGCAGCACTTCGCCAGCCATATGCGGTGAGCACGAAGCCGCCAGAGTTGCCAACAGACTGAGCAACAACCCGAGCAAATGGTGGCTGGTGGTGGGAAAGGCCGAAGAGCCTGTTCAACTGTCAAATCTCTGTTGCTGGCCTGGTCCTCCAGATCCTCTTCACCTCAATCACGCCGAGACTACGGCTACGGCGCAGCGTGCCACCGCCAAGCACACCGTGCTGCACAGCTTTCCAGTTAGGCTCCGAGGTCCCTGCCCTCTCCAGCTCGCGGTTGTTTGGCACTTGCGCTTAGCGTGCCCTGCACGCATATTCAGCATCAGGAATTGCGTGGCAGAGGGACGCATGCCTTCCCCGCTTGCGCAAGCCACTGGTATCCACCCACAAGGGGTGGGGCCTGCAGCCGACTGAGATTTTGACAAGCCAAGCTTGGTCAGTTAAGAACTTCAGCATGCAAGTCAATTGCAACGCCATACTGGGTGCCCAACACCTCCGCGACCATCAAAAGACACCGAGAAGGTTGCCTCCTTCGTATACACCTCTTTTCGGTCAGCGACACAAACGCCAGCACATGCATTGCAACAAGTAGGAGCCCAGCATGGGGGAACAACGCCCAACCGTGCAAGTCCTTGCTCAGATTGAAAGCCTCGCACAGGAGTGTCCGCGCATCCGCGGCTAGCAAGCAGCATGGAGGGGCACATCACCAGGAATTTCTCGTCCGTTCTTCATGTACCTTCCATGGGGGAGAGAAGTTTATTCATGTTGCTGATGTGAACTGTACCGTGGGCACGTGATTGCACGGCGGTCCAAGTCCACGCAACAAGTGATGGCCTGGGCTAAAATGGGCTCTTGCGGCTCTTGCCACACTTTACTCTGTCATCGTCACGCTGCACACAAGACAGTCGCTCCCACACCTGCCCCATTGACGATGGATATGAATCACAAGTCGCGCACGTCCGGTGATGCAGCAAAGAAGCCCGCAGGTGGGGCTATACCATGCTAGACTGATGGCGGCATCATTGTGCTAGCTCCTTTGCCGCCCCGAGCAGGTCTCCGGGCAGATTGCTTCGCTGTGGAGGTGTACGCGGCTTTGACTTGCTGCCTTTGGAATTTACTTCGACCTTGCGGAGTCCTTTGCAGTTTTGTGGCATCAAGGATCCACTGGTCCAGCTGGTCCCAGCCTCGCCCGGCAGCTTCTCCGACGACCCTTTGGAAATCACGGATCCCAGAGTAACGGAGCGATGCGCAGCTCACGATGCTGGAGGGTGGTCGCCCCAGCTGCGCAAATGCCTCACTCAGGCGTTCCTGGAACTCGCTGACCATGGACGGATCGAAGAGGTCTATCTTCGTTAAGACGACAACATATCGAACTGGTGAAAAGCCTCGAGCGTCGCGCTCAGCTTCACTCCGGTCAAAGATGTCTACAAGCTGCCGGTCGCCATCAGACAGCTGGCCTTCTTGCTCCGAGCTGATGAGATGGCAAAATGTCTGTAAGGCACGACGCTCGCTAAGGAACTTCTGAAGCAATGGACCCCAGGTTTGGAGGCGCCTAGCCTTTAGCTCCGAGTAGTCCACTTCACCTAAGCCAAAGCAATCCACCAAACAGCAGCCTTCACCGGCCGCTCTCAGCTCATCTTCGAGACTCAAGTCTTCATTCTCATTCCACTCAGGCGGAATTCGGACGCCATCCCCATACCAGCCCAATGGTCTCCGAAAGCCTATCGGATACCAGTTCAGCGTACGAGTTCTACCACCCCTGGGGGACATCGGGGCAGCTTTCTTCATTCCGGCTGCGCCCAGCACAGCATTCAGAAGAGTGCTCTTCCCGGCATTGGAGCGCCCTGCAAGGACAAGCTCTGGTGATGCAGCCTGCGGAACTTGCCAAATGTACCGGACCTTAGGCCTGTCACCCATAATCGTGCCATCCGGCACAATGTCCGTGCTGGACCTTCTGCACCGGGCCATGGCCTCTCTGTGGCACTTCACGCCCTTCATGCGCCATGCGCACAACACAGCACATGCGGCGGTGCCCTGCAAGGGCCCAAAAGGCCCAGCGCTTGCATGTCCGATAGGCAGGCTGCAGCTCCTCGCAGACCATCGGCTGGGCGACGGATGCGATGGCACGCCCGAAAAAGCACTTGCCCGACTCGCGGGCGGAACAACGGTGAGCCTGGATATCTCCATGGCGACTTGGACTTGCTATCGGCAGGATGGCTGTTGATTGAGTCCGAGACCGACACCCTCTATGATGACTGTAGTTACTATCGAGCCAAAAGCCTCTGCGCCGCTTCAGTTCAACATGCATGGTGCTGCCGCATCTCTCGTTTCCTGCAAGATGCCGGCATTCGTAGAGGCCCTAGATGTTCACAAGACTGCGTGCATGTGGCTCCATGCTGCCAAGAAGGAAGCCTTGACACGTGTTTGACAAATTCACACCGACCCTGGGTGAAAGGCATCAGCTTGACCAAACGTTTGGCCATAATTCGTGAACCTTGGATTTTGCACATTTGGCGGATCTGCAGACAGCAGATGCAACAGACACATGCAGACACTTGAAGGCTTGGTTGAAGGCTGTCCTCCGTGCGATTTTGTTGCAGTGCCGCCATATCCAAAAGACCACTTGTCTGTGCCTCCACCGCAGCAGCGGAATGCACATCGGCCGAGCAGGGCTGCGTGTAATCGAATAGACGCGAACAGAGGCGTGCGAGAAGAGCCTAACTTCAAGGATGCTTGCGCGCATGACCAGCCTGAAGCCAAACGCCAGGTGCTGCGACAACAAGGTGCTCGCTTCAGAAGAGCAGGAGAACGGACGAATCTCGCACATAAGCAGGCGACCAACCCGGAGATTGCCGCCACTCTCATTCCAGACCTCACATGGATCACAATCAGTACAAAGGCTCGAAACAGCAAGGGGAACACAACTGCGTCACATCAATTCAGTCGTGCCAACCTAGCCCCCAGGCGAGAGCGAGCAGTCACAAGGGAGAAGGTTTTCTGGCAGCATTGTGAACCGCAGCCCGCTTCATTATTTCGGGCTGTTTTGCCACCATTTCGGGTTTGGGTTTTAGGCTTGGGGTCCGGGAACTTGTGGGAGGTTGAAATGTCACCTCGGCAGCACGTTTAGTCGGGTGAGCGGAGAGGGAGGGGGCACCTAAAGTGGGAAGGGAGAGGGCTCTTCCTGTCCCCCCCCCTCAGTGGATCGGGGGGAACCCCAGCCCGCCCCGACACTCCCGACGTATCATGCTCGCGCTCGTGCTTGAGTGACTGAGATCAAGGCACAGAAAGCCCAGCGACCAGAATTCACGACTCCGTGAGTTGCTCGAACACCAACCTGAGATCAGATGATAACAAAAGTTCCTTGCAGAGCAGACAAAGACAATGTCAGCGACTATCTCACGATGTTTGTGCCAAGCTTGGAACCCATTGGCCGCCAGCCTTCCTCGTTGCCTGCACAGCAACTGTTCACCTGGTGGGGTTCCCTCCTGCGACCGCCGTCGCAACAGAAGCCAATGGCCTTTTGTCGGCCGTTGCTCTCGCCTCAGCTTCTTGGGTAAAGCCCAGCGCGTCCGCATGATCAACAGCGTACGTTCATTGACGCGAGCCTCTGCTTTCTCACACACCATGCACTTGACGTTTCATTGTCGCCTCACCTCATGCTCCTCCAAATGTTAATGGGGGGGGTGTCCCGAGCTGTTGACATCACATCGGATATCTATATAGATATATATATATATATATATATGTATATGTATGTATATGTATCACCTGTGCCCCTCGGAACCATGGTCAACAGCGATCAACAAACGGTTTTTCCGGGAACCCACAGGCGGCGATGATTCCCGGAGGGGTGCCGATTTCTCCGGGTCAGCCGACCCAAAATTTAAAAAACAAGAAGAGAATCTGAGAACTCGGTTTGTTTCTTTGTTTTTTGGTGCTTTTCCTCGAGCTTGTGGATATCGTAAATTGCCTCCTGGCCCCATGCCCCCCCCCCCGCTCCAATTGCATTTTGTTGCAATGTTTCCGACCACTCAAGCTATCTGAATCATTTGCATGTTTAACTTTGGGTGGGGCTTCTTCCTGGCACGTCCTCGCACATCCCCCCTGCTCCCTGCAGGAGCATGTGTTGAAGGCGTTCTAGTCGAGCTCAACCTGTAGGCCCTAAGCTTCGAGCCCAGAAGGGCCAAGCCATGCTCACGGTCTGCGGGGTTCAAGCGGACACCCGCAGACGGCATTGTCTCCTATGGAGGCCGCGCCATCACCTACATGCAGTGTATCCCTACAAGCTTCTCAAGTCGGCAAGTCCGGACACCCCGTCGCTCTCCGTGTGCAGTACTTCATGGTGCTGGAAGCTACGAGTAATTAGCACTGAGTAGCACTGAGACGTTTCTAGTCCATTTCATTCTTGCGTGAGCCGTGAGGCTCCAGCTGTTGCTAGCTCGTGAGATCTGACATAGACTTATGGTGGATAGAGGAGCCCAACCCGCTGCATCACCCGAGGACATCTGCAGTTGGATGGGAAGTTCCAAAACACGCAGAGAATGGCAGAACACAGGAGTTGCGCCATTCGAGGCTTTGAAGTGGATAAAGCTGCAGTCAAACTTTCAACTCGAAACCCCTCCTACAACGCTGTAGACCTTGGCCCGAAAGGCTAACAAAGCTGGCGTTCCTTTTTTCTTCAGCGCGCGTGGTCGATGCTACAATGCTGACGTTGCTGCTACAGGGGCAAGCCATTGACTTCGAAGAGCCCCTCAGGCGATGTCGCCTCTGACACAGCTGGAACGCCTCGAAAGGATTTTGTGCTACCCGCACTGCACAGGTCTTGTGACAAGGTGCACCAAAGACGCCTAACACTATTCTGACGAAATCCTGCAAGTGTGCTGGCAAGGGGCCTGTTAAATACTGCTTGGCCTGTGACTTTGTGTCGCAGCTCCCTGGAATCACAAGGGCGCCATAAGTTGCCACAGCATTCTTCGTCAGCTCGCTCCCCGGAGTCAACATGGTCCCTCCAAGAGTCGTGGCACCTCGGTGCTCTCTCCCTCTCTCTGCAGATTCTGAGCCACGGCCCAGCATGGGACCTTTGAACTTCACTCTTAACTTCCGTGTCTCTCCGGTTCCACTCGCCCACAGTGCGACTTAAGGAGCCATTGCCAACCTTGACGGGCTTGAACACCAAGGTGGATGCTGAAAATTCGTGTCCGTACATCCCCCATCCTGCACCAGTCTCAAGACTCTGCTCCGCTCATGCTCCACTTCTCCCTTCCTTCTCTCTTTCAATGGGTGATTTTGGCCCAATAGGCCTACGAACGCATCGTCACCGATGGAGACCATGTCCATCTCCGGAGCTATCTGAAACATTTTCCAACTCAGCTGGCTTCCATTGCCCACGCGCGCTCCGCTGGCCTGAATAGGTCGTGCCCTTGCCCTAGTGACTCATCTCTGACTGAAGTGAACCGACGATGAGACACCGGCCCGGCCTTTGCAATCCAGCTCAGAAGTGGTGTATGAGACTGCATTTTCAGGGCCCCTGCCGACATGGAAGTGTTCACCACCGTAGAAACCTCATTCCGAGCGACGAGGACACCCTCGCAGTCACGCATACAACCATGGCATGGAAGACAACCTTAAGGTTGGAGCCCAGCGGAGACAGTTCCAGCCACGAAGTGGTCCACCGCTTGCTTCTGAAACGCTGCCCAGGACTACATTCTTCACGACGATAATCTCCAACGCCGAACCTGGCTCAATCCTGGCCTACCAATATGAAGCATGCAGAAGTATACCAAGCTTCTTTGCAGCGGAGACACAAATCGCCAGCACTGCAGTGCACATCGTTCCACACAACAGAGATAGGGCCAGAAGATTCCGCAAATCCCCACCTAATTGCCAGTGTCTCAACATGACTTGCAACTCAATCTCATCATCCTTGCCGAATGTGGTGAGTTGCAAACAATGCATATCAGAACTCTCAAAATGCAAAGTCGAGACTCCGTAGGTTCCCGAGACCTCCGTCTCACCTGTCAGCAGGGCCCCAAAGACCGGGGCAACCGGTCCCATCTGCCGCAGCAAGTACAAGGTCAGGGAGCTGACGAGCGCAACCTTCATCCTGAGAAAATGGAAGCCATGGGGGCACTGTGAATGGGGGGGGGGGGGGGGCGGAGCTTGTGTCCATTCCCGCGCATGCAGATCTTGAATTTGCAGGCAAGAATCCACATGCGAAACACGCGGCCAGCAATCATGCTTAAGGTGACTGCGAAGAAGTATGGAAAAATGCCAGCTGACTGCTTCACGTCTCGCCTTCGCTTCACCATGAAGCGACAGTCGACACTAGTGCCCATGACCGTCTTCCACGCTGGGACGCTTGTTCCTGCTGGAATATAGGTCTGGTCCATTGTTGCGGCTCCTTCCCCGAGTGTGGTGCCACCAGTGATGCACGTGCCTGGCCCTACAAACGAACGCTCGCCAATCTTCAGTCGCTTGCATGTCATTTGCCATCGGCTAGGGCCTTGAAAGGACCCTTCCAGCTCCTCCGTCTTGTCACCATAACCTTAGCTTGGGGAGATGTCGGTTTGCTGAAAAAGGATTCTCTGGTTCTCGTGGTGTTGGATGCTCTTCTGCGACCCGGCACTGCCTCGTGCATGTTGCGGTTTGCGAGCTTCTTGACTCTATGTTTTAACAGAGCATGAAGCTTGATTCCAAAGCGGTGATACGCGCAGGAATGCGCCAAGGCTGTGGGTTTTTCAGGGCATCTGGCGCGCGAATTCCAATCATCTGACAGCGACGAGGATAGCAAACCCAGCATGCTCTGAGCAAACCCAGCATGCTCTGAGCGAAGTAAAACTGCGAACACATAAACTTTACTGAACTTTACTGTGTCAAATTTTGAAATTCTAAGTATACGTATATCACCAGCACAGCGTCGACTTCAAACCCAGCGGCTGCCACGAGGACCATGCCCCTGAATGAAAGACACGAGGTGTGAAGGAAAACCTGATGGCGCCCTCAACGCGTCTCGGGGTGAGAGCCCATTCGCTTTGACTTCGCATTTGGCATCGTTGTTGCTTGGAGTGAAAGGGTGCAGAAGGGATTTGGGCGGGAGATGGAGCCCATCAACGGCCAAAACAAGCCAACACAAGACACCAGAAAGCCAGAACTGGACACTACATAAAAGGGCAGCAGGCGGGCCACAGGGGCGCGAGAGTGGACTGCGGCGCGTATGACGGCGCATGCGGCGGGATTTTCGTTGAATTGTAGAACAAATGTAGTACTGGGAGGACAGAGCCGAGGGGCGTGAGAGCGGACTGCGGCCCGTACCACGGCGCGTACGGCGGCGCGGGAAGCTGAGGGATTTTCGCTAACACAAATACATGTAGTATTGTAAGGACAGGGGCGCGAGAGCGGACTGCGGCACGTAGAGAAGTTTACGGTTTACTGCCCCAAAACTCCTTCGGGCATCCCCACTGCGACCATCCTGGCGCAAGATGCCTTCAGCCAAATCCAAAAACCCTAAGCCACACGAAAATAAAGAAGCAAGCAGCACAAGCAATGCAGAAGCGCAATGCAAGAAGCAGCCTCACAGAGCGTAAGAAGAAGATTACGAATGCACACAAACACAGACACACACGCACACACACTCATGGAATCCTCCCTCTGTTATCCCTATCACACCCACAACAAAAACTGGACAAATGTAACCCGGAATTGGTTGCGAGCCCGCTTCTTGTTCGGTCATATGCCTCCGGGTGGCAGCGTGACAAGGCAATACAATTGAAATTCGTTTTGCTGGCTGTGAAAGCATCCTCACCAATCGTCAGCAAGTCTGCCGAAAGGTACGCTGCAGCATTCGCAGGGGATGGCATCCAGCTCCAAGCAACACCCGTACCACCCATGGCCTCCACTTCACGCGCATCTACCCAAGACGGAGGCACTGAGAGCAACTGCTTTTCAAAACTTCCTGGCCTTCATGAAGATGTTGTTCAGGAACGACTGGGCATTTTGCGACAGAACGCTTGCGGCCGAGTCGGTCAAGAGATAGCAGATCTCGAAGCGGAGGAGAAACGAGGTGCTGACTTCTCGGCACCCTTCCTTCAGACGACCCAGGAGGATCCACTTGGCCGCGACTGCAACTCCAAGGATCACAACATCATGGTACAGCATAAAGAGGACCAAGATGGCAGGCAGGATGAGCACTCCAATTGGCATGTCCATGGAAGGCTCTGGCTGGCGCCCACCAAGAAAGAGTGGCAAATATTGAAAAAACAAAAGGGCTAAGTCAACGATGAAGGGCTGCAAGCACACAAGCAGCATGCAGCACCGCACTGCAAACACGATTGCCGCAGCCAGAAGGCCTTGGCACGTGCGACCCCTAGCAAGGCAGTCCTATGCGCTCCTTCCTCTTCGAGCTGAGAAGGAACTACTAGTACAAGACGAGTAGAAAAGCAAGGGAGTAGACTTTGACCACCTAACTGTTACTGAGCTCCGTGCTGAGAGGTGTTCTTCGAGGAGTTGAGAGGAAGCCATCTACATCCATGTCGTTGGCTCTCATCGCCTTCGAAGTTCCCAAGCCACCATCATAGACATCATCGCACTTGACTGTGCCTGCCCATGCACTTTTCCAGGGCTTTTCATTTCTTGATCAGCAATTCAGATGCCCTTTTTTGCTGGCGGGACGCCTGCGAGGACTGTGTTGGGAAGGACAACACCGCCATCTTCCACAGTTGCCCCTCCCTGCAGCTTGGCCGTGGTGCCAATGGCCTGAGTTCTTATTATTCTGTTCTCTTCTTCTTATAGTTGTAACTATAATTTGAATTATAATTATAAGTATATTTATAATTTCATGTATAATAACTATTGTTTTTTACTATTATTGAAATTGTTATGATTGCTATTGCTATGATTACTATTGCGTCTTCTTATGTACTACTATCTTAATGATTGCTATTATTACCATTAGCCCCCAAGGCCATGCCAAACCATCTGAACAAAGCCAAGACAGAAGACACTGCCGCGTCCAATGGAAATGGGCTGGTTCACGTGGTAGACACGTCCAGCTTCCATGACGAAGGTTCTGTCAAGGATGGCGTTCTCGCCGACGCTGAGCAGATCCCACGAGCATGCCATTGTTGGCTCGATGATATAGGCGCCGTGTCCAATGAATGCCCCAAGTACCCGCCGACAAAAATTCGGAATTTCAGTCCTCTGAAAAACCTTCAGAAAGAAGCCAGCGTGCATCCCATCCTCGTACTCAGCAAGTACCCGGAAGCATGCCATCTTCCAGCCCCACACAGGGTATGTGCCCTCTCGGAATTTGCCAAGAACAATGGTCTTGACCAGCCACATCATGAAAAGTGAAAAATAGAAGCGCAGAAGAGGCATCAGCAGCAGTGACATGAAGAGCAACAGGTTTAGCTCGGTTCGACTGCTTGTCACAACGAAGTGTTCAGTGCGTAGCGGGAACACCAACACCAGCAAAAGCATTGAGGCCGCCAGGCTTGCACTTTGCATGATACCGAGGCCGGTTCCCTGCATCAGGCCAACAAGCTGTCGATGAAGTGGTGACGTGTCGCCGATGGAGTGAACGTCCACGGTGTGCTTGCTGAGCGGAAGGCTTGGCAGAGGGCACGCCATCTCGTGCAACGGAGTGTGAGCCGAGGTGATCTGCTGCTTCTCCATCTGGGGCAAGTCACGGATCCTTGGTTAAGCACTTTAAGTTCATCACATGGTCGACAACTGGGGCAGCACTCCACTGCACTGCACTGCACTGCGCTGCGATTTACTGCGATTTAGCACGAGGTTCTTGCCCAAAACCACGCGCAACGAGTTCGATTCGAAGAGGAATGTGGGCTTGATGCCTTCAATGCCCAGTGGAGCTAGTGCTGCTGCCAAAGCCCTGGAAGCTTCAACGCCCGACAGCGAATCAAGGCCCAACTCATCAAACTCCACATCCTCTGTCACCCCATCTTTGCCATTTGGGAGGAACCTGCTCAAGGTATCAATTACTGTCTGTCTGACATCGCTCTCGGATGCGCGGGCCACCTCTGCATTGGGCTGAGAAGGCATAGATGTCAGAACTTGTCTAGCTGCTGGTTTTGGCGCAGGCAGCTTGCTCATCACAACTCGCAAAGAACTTGCTTCGAAAAGGAATGTGGGCTTGATGCCTTCAATGCCCAGTGGAGCTAGTGCTGCTGCCAAAGCCCTGGAGGCTTCAACGCCCGACAGCGAATCAAGGCCCAACTCATCAAACTCCACATCCTCTGTCACCCCATCTTTGCCATTTGGGAGGAACCTGCTCAAGGTATCAATTACCGTCTGTCTGACATCGCTCTCGGATGCGCGGGCCACCTCTGCATTGGGCTGAGAAGGCATAGATGTCAGAACTTGTCTGGCTGCTGGTTTTGGCGCAGGCAGCTTGCTCATCACAACTCGCAAAGAACTTGCTTCGAAGAGGAATGTGGGCTTGATGCCTTCAATGCCCAATGGCGCTAGTGCTGCTGCCAAAGCCCTGGAAGCTTCAACGCCTGACAGCGAATCCAAGCCCAACTCGTCAAACTCCGCATCCTCTGTCACCCCATCTTTGCCATTTGGTAGGAATCTACTCAGCGTGTCTAGAACAACAGTCTGAACATCCACACTCGACGCAGGAGCAGCTTGGCTCTTCGGTTCACTTGGCTGTTTGAGAAACTCGCGCAAGAACCCTTGGTAGTACATGCTCTGGCCCAGGTCTGAAAACATCTGCCCCCAGTCAAACTGGGTAAGGCAAACGACAGGTGACCGAATGGGGCTACTGAGAGTTAGTACAGCTTCCAGGGCACGCAGCGCGTTGTGTTGCTGCCATGGCTTAAATATGGAGGTGCTTCCTTTGGGTAAGTCTGCAGCCATACCAAACTCTGCCCAAGGACCCCACTGCACAGCCAGCGAGGCACCTGCCTCTGGCCCGGCAGCACTTCCCAGAAACCAGCTCTTGCCCATAGCATCAAGAGCCGAGTTCGAGGCACCGTATGCAGTTTGGCCAAGGTTCCCCAGGCAGCTGGTGACCGAGGAAAAGAGCCACAGGTGCTGCATGCGCACGGCCGCAGACTGTGAACGTAAGCTCTCGACCAGCAGAGCCGCTCCGTCAACCTTGGGCTTCATGGTTAGATCTAAGCTGCTCTTGTCTTGGCGTAGAAAGAGGCCATCCCGCAGGATGCCTGCCAAGTGTGCAACTCCGAATGGTTCTTCGGCACCCGCCAACTTTTCAGTCAATGGAGAAGGATCAGAACCCACGTCGCAGTTGCAGAGAGTAACTTGCGCAGATGTCCGGCACAGGTTCGTCCAAAGTTGCTTGTTCTCTTCAGGCACCTTTCCGCTTCTCGAAGCGAGAATGAGCTGGCTGCTCCCAGTGGAAATCCATTCTGCCACGATGAGGCCAAGTGCACCCGTCCCTCCTGTGATGCCGAAGACTTTGGGGAAGGTTGGGGTCTCCGGAGAGTGAAGCAATGGCAGATGTAGACTCTGAAGCACCCGCACGAAGCGCTCGCGCCCTAGGAGCACATCACGGGCTTCCTGTCGCATGAGCTCCGAAGCAAAGTGGCTCCCGACGGGGGTCCCGACATCTTCCAAGAGCTGCGGGTCCAAGTCGATGCACCGCAGCGCCCACGAGACATCCATCTCTTGCCTTGCCGAGCGTGCCGCGCCCCACATGGCCGCCGCAGGGATGGAACGCAGGTCTGGGAAGCTGCCGTGCGCACCCACGCTGAGGATCGCAGCCCTGCGGCCGCTGTCTCTGCGAGGAAAGGATCGCAGCCACTCCAGCATCTCATGCGGGGCAGCCCGAGCGGAGTGCAACGTAGATTGCAAAGAGCTTGCAGCTGCAGGCTCCAGCACGAAAACCAACTCAGCATGGGGGTCGGTGAGGCTTGACGGAGTTCCCTCAGTGGCAACGGCACCGTGCTCCCGAAGGGCCGCCACCACTTTTGAAGCCAATGCCCCCCCTGAAACTAAGAAGTGCTGCCCGCGCAGCTCTGGTTTGATGGCTGCAGTCGGAAGCCACTGCGCCTCAAAAGCTTGTGTGCAAACGTCCTGGCGGCGCCACTGCGACATCGAAGGGTCACCAGGCCAACACACTTTCGGGGCAAAGCTCGCAGGCGGCATGCGCGATACAGGTCCCCCTCCCAATGGCCCAGCAAAGTTCACAGACACACCAGCGGCAAAAATCGAGGCTGCCGCCTCGAGGATGGCACGCTCGGCAACATCTCCGGACACGATGCGGCCGTCTGCAGGGGGCCCTATGCATGTGGATATGACGGTAAGCGTCTGATCGTCTTGGTGTCTCTGCAACGATGGGTTTCCCAGCGACAGCTCCACCACCACATCACAGCCACAAGACTTTACAGCCTCCCAGACACCTCCCATGCCCTCGCCTACTCCACCAGCTACGGACCGAAAGTGGTCCACAGCCGGCCCCTTTGTGAAAAGGCCTGTGCATGAGGATGCAACAGGAACAGAGGGTGGCCAGTACCCACCAAACTGGGCAGCCGAATCGGATGCCAGAGCCAGGCCCTCCTTGGGCAGCAACACACCGGTAACGGTCAATGCCGCAGCCTCGCCAGCCAGGCCATGGCCACAGATGAGGGCGGGTGCCACGGCCAAATCTTCGGCGAAGGCTGCCGCTGCGGCATAAAGGCACCCAAACGTTGCTCCCAAACTATTCAGGGAGGCCCCGTGCAACTCTTGAAGCTTTCGCTGAAAGCCGCTCCATGGCGCATCTGCTCCTCTTGCTGCGCGGCCCATTGCCTGCAACAACCTCAACGTTGCAAATCCGGATGAGTCGTCACCAGCACCCGATAGAACGAGAGCAACTCGCCCCCCTTGACTTGCAGGAGGGACATCCGAGCGAGCAATCTTGCGAACTTTTGCCAGCAACTCCGGCATGCTCTCTCCCACAACTGCGAGCTGCCGGAAGTCACCAGAGTTCAAGGCAAAAGCTTGTCTTGAAACCTTTTGAGCAGCAGCTCTCGCCAAAGATTCCACACCTTTCGCCAGCAATGAATGTCCATCGCTCTCGGACATTTGGGTTTCCAGCCATGCCTGCCAAAGACTTGCATCTGCCTAACATCTACAACTTCGCTGTAGCTGCAGTAAACGAACTCCCGGCCTCCAAACGACGAGCATAGGCCTTGAGGGTCTTTGCTGTAGCCACCATGGGGACTGCCACCCGTCTCCGAGAAGTGCGGCTGGGCTCCTCTCGGGTTACTATTGTAAGGTGGCCCCTAGTATTCGAGGGTACCCGAAAAGGCACCCTCATTTAGAGAACTCACCGTATCAAATATATTGGGGACGGCCGTGTTTCAAGTCCCGTCCTGTCCATCTGAGCACAGGATGGCATTTGCATTCGAGCCTCCGAAACCGAAGCCGCTTACCTTTCAAAAAGCATAGCTGCTGGTGCTGCACCCATCATGCCGATGCATGCTCCTAGTGGGTCCTAGTGCTGGCGGCCGAGGGGCGCAGCCAGACATCTGCTCCGCCACGTAGGAATTCGCGCTTCGTGTTCCCAAAGGCTCACACTCTGTGACCACTTTGACGGACACGTCCTCCCAGTCAATATGCCGATTGAGCCTCAAGCACATACAGTTCGATGTTGTTGGATTAACCAAACGTACGCATCTTCATAGCTGAGAAGAGTGGAGCATGAGGCACGACTTAAAAAGGCACCTTTTGGCAGAGGCTTGAGTTGCAAGCTGAAGAGGAAAAGTATGGAAAACTTCACCAAGGCGCACTTTCAGATGGAGGGAGGGCGGAATGATTGCCTGCCGCAGGACCAAGGCCAGCTTGGCCAGCGAAGCAGCTCCAGCCCCGCACTCCAAGTGCCCGATGTTGGACTTGAAGCTGGTGGTACGGAGGCTGGGCCTCACCGCTTCTGAAAGGCTTCAAACACAAGACTTCTACTCACCAAAGAGCAAAAATCGGCTTCACAGCGCGGCTGTTTTATTTGCGGCTAGGAAGCAGGTCGCCACGGCAGGGCTCCACCTGCACCCCACGGCCGCGCATCGCCCGACCCATGGCAACAATCTCAATCGGATCGCCCAGGGCCGTGCCCGTGCCATGGGCTTCGGCGTACACAGCATCAAAGGCACTCAGGCCTGCATGGTCGTCACTCCATTCACTCCGCTCTGTACTGACAGACAGCTCACAGGTTACCATGCAGATTGCCATGACGATGGCCTGCATCCTGCCATGCCGATGTTATCAAGGTGGTCTGGGCGGCCGGGTTCGGCGCAGTAAGCCCATTAGAGCGACCATCCTGGTTGGAGCACGTACCTCCGACAAAATGCGCAGTGTTTCAACGGGCTAGTGACGTGGGCACGCTGCCCTCCCGCCTCTCAGCGAGGCGTAGGGCGAGGCCTTTTGAAGCCCTCTGCTGTAGGCATCGTCATCGTACAGCAAAAGACAGCTGCAGCCCTCTCCTGGCAAGGGTTTTGTCCAGCTGGGACCTTCAAGTGATGGTCGTACGGGCCGTATGGGGTTCAGGAATCATGCACGACGTGCCTCGAACGTATCCATCCGCCCTGTCATCACCAAAACGGCATCGCCCCGTAGGGGAGAGCATGCCCGCCTCAGCAAAGGCCTGCCAGCACGTCCAAGGCCTATCTGGGAAAGCCCTTGAAAGCATCTGACTCCGGGGGCCTCTGTCCAGTACGGCTGGAATTGCACGTTGACCCCCAGTACGAGAGCTCCGGCACAGGAGCGACCGCGAAGGGCGGCCATTGCCATGTTGCAGCCAACCAAAGAAGACGAGCAGGCAGTGTCCTTCGCGAAAGTGTGTTTTCGCAAGACAGAAGCAAAGCCAAGGAAATCGACAGCATCAACGCACAGCTCCATCAACGTCCGAGGGTCAACTGACGCAGATGGCCCTTGCAAGTCGAACACGTAGGATACCTCAGAGGCTTTCACACAAGAAGTGCTGAGGACATGGAACAGGACGATACAGGATCTCCACAGAGCCAAGTGAACCAAGGTGCACGATTGGAGCAAATAGCTGTCGTCAATGCAGGCCCCGTGTAAGCAGATGGCGCCCCAGCCTCTTTGATGACGATGTCTGTGAAATCAACCGTGGTGACTCCGACATAGACCCCCAACGGATTTCCTCGAGTTTTGGAAAGTCCACCATCCTCCATCGCTTCAAGTGCTGTTCTGACACAGAGGCGCTGCTGTGGGTCCACGATTTCTGCTTCCGACTGGCTCATGCCGTAGGCCGCTGGGTCAAAGCAAGTCACAGCCTCTGCACCGAGATATCCTGCTCAGTTCCAAGCATGAAAGCTTCGCTTGGGGCATGCGCGAGATGATCGCCAGTTCGAACAGCTTCCGAACTCACAGCGTTCAGCAGCGAATCTAGCAGCTGCATTCCAACATCTAGGGTTAGAGGCCATCAGCCCCATCAGCCCAAATGGACGCGTTCACTTTAGCAGATTGTAGACAAGTCGAATTTTGGATGTTCCAGTGATGCAACTTCTGGTGGGCAACACCTGATGCAAATAGCTGTATATGTTGGCATCACATCCAGTGGCCCAACACTGTCTACATGCATTTGCCAGATTTGCATGCCCTTTCATCGGGCCTCATCCCTTCCGCTCGTGGAGCGTGGCTTTGCAAGCGCATCGTCTAACAACTGGGCCCCCACCCTCTCCTGAAGCCACGCCTTTCCAGCGAACCTTTCACTTCCCCACGGCTCCAGCTGCGACGCACAATCAACCAGAAACAATACAGTAATGAAAAGAACATCTGCCGTGCTTCGATTACACCCCCTACCACGCGTATCCGAGGCTCCAACAGGGATTGACATGTCTCGAGGGTTGACCCTACACACGAACCTCGAGATAGCTGTCTTTTGTAAGGGTCTTTTCTGGAACATCCGCATTGTTTGGCATTTGGGGCCCAGAAACACACGAACTGCACAGAACTGCTGCGAACATCGCGAGTGGCGCAATGATTGTGTCCATGCCTATTGAATCTTTGAATTGCAACAAAGCACTGAGATGTCCTGCTTCTGAATACCCCAGCGTGTCGAAGGCCGGGCTTGTCTCGCGTGGTGCGGCCACTGGACGACCCTTCGGTGGGAGCATGATGCAATCGGCTCCATTGACCAGGTTCTTCCACACTTGCTGTACATCCTCGCTGGTCCCGAACCGTCCGCCTGCGGCATGTAATAAAATGTGTCACGTTCAGGCTCATGGACTTCCCAGAACAACCGCAACATGTGCACATCAAGATAGACTTGTGGCACCTGGGAGAACGCAGGCGCCCCCGACGATGCTCACTCGCACTGGTTGCAAGGCACAAGGCATTGCTGTAGCTGCCTGCAGAAGAGGGTGTAGCTAGGGACACAGGTCTGCATGTTTGGCGTGGCGAAGGGACCGTTTACGACGCTTCACATGTCTGCTGGCATCTGCAGCTCGTGCTCAAACATCTCCCCAGATCTCGGTGGAAGCTCCTGACTACCCCAGAGCGGCGTTTGGATGAAGTCTACCCGGCGCCGCGATTTGGGGGCAAGAATTCGCACCTGACCCACACCCCCCTACCACGCTGCCACCCGGTCGCAGAACATGTTGCTTGCTGGCCATGTGCATGTACCCCATGTCCGACGCGCATGCAGCTTCGACCCTAAGCCCCGCAGCATTTGCCTCGGTACCCTTGCCGAGGCATTCAAGGCCGCGCATCGCCGATCAAGTTGCGAAACCGAGCGGGCTAAAGCATACGTCAACACGGCACAAAAACAAAACTACCTGGACTATCCAGCCTACCTTCATGGAGGTTCAACTGGCCCCACCTCCTCAGCTTTCTGTGCCTTTGGCTTCAATCGTGCTTCTAAGGCCGTGCACAGCTGCTCAGCGCTGACCACCTAGCAGCACAATAAAGTTGCTTGACTGCCACCTTGATGTGATCATGCAGTAACCCCTGCCTCAAAGGCCAAGGTGGCGGGCAGACTGATGGATAGAGCCTGGCAGACGCATTCATCGGGCAAGAGAATGCATGGCGGGTTGGATGAACGTCCGAAAACGCCGTTGTTGCGTTGCGGCGTTGCGCCGCACTGGGTGCAGAACCGAAAGACCTAAACCCGAAACCCGGATCCCGAAGTACCCTCAAACCTAAACCCTAAGCCTCAGACTCTAAACCCTAAGCCTAGGCTACAAAGAGCAGAGTACGGAGCAACAGAGTACCGAGCAACGGAGGGGCGCAGTTTGGGACACAGTTCCCACCAATAATGGAACAATGGACAACAACAGGCATATGCACTTTGTCAAATCTGTCCTGGCCTTACCAACGCGAGCCGTGAGGTCAACAGCCATCATCGATGTGACCCCGACTGTCGCAAATGGTTCGTCCATGGGGACGTCACCTGCCTCACAGGCAAGGAGGCTGCCGAGAATTGCCGTCACGACTGCGCGGATGTCCGTGGCCAGTGCAGGGCCAGGTGCTTCAACCTCGTCAGCATCCATGTCCACTTCAGCTTCATCCGCAGTAGCTATGCCACGTGCTAGCACATGGCGTGAGAGCCCTGAAGGCCAAGGCCCTGCAGAAGCTGCGGGGAATACACAGATCTGAGGCGGGATGCGATTCTTGGAGGCAAGTAAACGGCAAAGAAGCTCCATCCCTGCTCGGGGTGGCACAAAACCCATACCCTCTGATGCCCAGTATGCATGAAAGCCCGCCCCAGCTCGATGTGCCATTCCAGTCTCTGCCCACGCACCCCAGGCTACAGCCTGAGCGGCCTTGCCACTGGCCGATCGGAGCTCCATCAGGCCGTCTTGGAAACCATTTGCTGCGCCATATGGTGCCAAGCGGGGGTACGAGAGAACTCCGAAGATGCTGCTGAAACACACAAGGCTTGTCTCCGGCTGCAAGATTTCGTCGCTTGCTGTTGCTAGATTCAAAGTGCCGTCCACTTTGGGCCTCAAGACTGGCACACAGTCCGCCCAGCGCAGGTCCTTTGCGACGGGCACCATGCCACTGTCAGGCAAGAATCCGGCCAAGTTGAGGATGTGTGAGCAGGGGGCGGACTGGTTCTTGACGCTTCGCATCAAATTTCTGCAGCTGTCAAGGTCACTGGTGTCCGCGGGCATGAACTGAATTTGGCAAGGCGACTCGGCCGCCTCCTTGCCGAATGTGCTTTTGCTACCCTGACGTCGGCTTACAATCACGATATCGCTCAACTGGCCACACTTCGCCAAGCATGAAATCAGTAAGCGACCGAGGCTTCCACTACCTCCAACAACAACACAGCTGGATCCATCACCAGTCGGACCAATGTACCCAGCCCTTGGCAGCTGCTGCGCCAGCTCGGAAACCTGCTCTGCAAGCTGCAGGCGTGGGACAAAGCGCTGTCCTTGGGACCAGACGACTTCTTCTGAGCGCTCTGCTGGCTCCTGCGCTGCAATCGTGGAATGTGCCTCTGCAACAATGGTACTGGCAGCATCAGCAGCTGATGCATGGCTGCAGAGCTCAACAAGTCGCCACGCAACTTGTGACTCCGCGGCAGCGGCACGGACAAAAGACCAGCATGCTGCAAGTGCAGGGTCTACTGCCACGGGACGGCCTGCAACCAAGAGTTCCTGCTGTGGATGTTGCGAAGCAACAAGGATGCTCCGAATCTGCCGAGCTTCAGAAGCCCGAATAGCCGCCAGCAGCAAGCCAAGCCCTCTCTGAACGGCCAGCCGAACTTTTGCATCAGCTTCCGGACCCTGCTCTACCATGCTGCCTGCAGGTAGCAGGAGGCAAAGACCGCTGGGCGCCTCCATGCCTGCAAAATCATGTACCATTGGCCAATCTCCGTAGGAACACTGCCCCACTCCTGCCTGCACACCACTGGCGCGGAACTGCTCCACCACCCCTGCTACTAAGGCGTCGGAGACTGGGACACTCTCTGACCCTGCTGACAGAACCAACCACTGACCCGCTGAAGCCTGCGCAGGCGGCGTTAGGAACTTTCGTTGCCACTGCACCTGGTAGCAATGCTCGTTGATATCCTGACAATCCACATCATCAGGCGTCGTTTCTTCCTGTCTCGGTTCTTGATCGCGCTTCTTCAGCTCTGCTTTGATGACCTTGCCGGAGCCATTCAGGGGCATCGACCGCACGTACTCGATGATGCGCGGGATTTTGAAGTCAGCTAAACGCGTACTGCAGAAGGTCTGAAGCTCTTCTGGACTGGGCTGAGAGGCACCTTCCCTCAACATGACCACTGCCTTGACGAACTCCCCGATCATCTCTGGTCCAGGGACACCATAGACCGAGCACAGGGCAACAGACGGATGTGCAGCCAACGCGTTTTCAACTTCTATACAGTAAACGTTTTCCGAACCCACCAGGATCATGTCCTTCAGCCTGTCAATGACGCGCAGAAAACCCTCTTGGCTGAGAGTAGCCAAGTCGCCAGTGCGAAACCACCCGCCAGGCAAGAAATGTTCAGCATCTTGTGTGGCACTTTCCTGATTCGGCCTCAAGTAGCCTTGGAATACTGTGGGCCCTCGGAGCTGGACCTCGCCCACGGCCGTCCCATTCGGAGCAATGGGCTCACCAGTCTCCGGATCACACACCCGCACATCAATGCCCTGGAATGGCTTGCCCGATGAGCACAGCATCTCCAGCTGCTTCCCCATGGGCAGCGCTCGCTGCCGATCGTTCAGCATGGACATCGAGACTTTTCCACAGCATTCGGTCATGCCGTAAGATTGAAAAAACTCACAGCCAAACAGTCGCTGGGCACGGAGAAGGGCAGCTTTGCTCAACGGCGCTCCACCACATGACACAAGCCTCAATCTAGGAAACCGACCGTCCATTGACCGACTTGCAGGCGAGGCCAGTAGCAGGTTGACCATGGATGTGGCCATGTTTGTGGCAGTAATGCCTTGCGTGCACATGGCGTCAAGCGTTCGCTCTGCGTCAAACGCTCCGGGCAGCAGAACGTGCTTCCCGCACACTGCTGTGATCGCAAACATTGCAAAAGCATCTACCAAGTGGAACATGGGAGCCACATGAAGCCACACGTCGGCCGCAGTGAACCGGTGCTCTGCAATGCAGTGAAGGGCATGTGAGTGGACAATCTCATGCGACAGCAGGACACCCTTGGAACGGCCGGATGTGCCGCTTGTGAAATACATCTCGCACGGCATGCTGGACACTCCCACTTCGGCGGGTCGCTCTAACCAGGACTGAGGCAAATCCTGGATCTTGGCAAAGACGGATTCCAAGCTGACCTGAGTTAGATGTCAGTTCAGATGACATCGGTCAGCTAGGCAGCTAGCAGCTAGGTAGCTAGCAACACCTGGTTGCTGCCAGGCGTCGCTTGTGCATGCTCGGAGATCGTCCGGCATGCCACCTGAACATTTTGTCATGTCAGAGGGCATGGCAAGCTCTTGTTACAAACCGGCCTGACCAAAATACAGGTGGATGCCAGTCCACTTTGGCTTCCAAGGTAGCCATCAGCAACGGCTTGCTGTCCATGTGGCATATCAGGGCACGCGGATTGGAATCTTCAAGGAGCCTCGCCGACGCACAAACACCCCAACCGGAGAAATCAAAACAACAGAGAGAGGGAGAGACAGAGAGAGAGGGAGGCACGCAAAAGAAAACTAAATCAGCATCAGAGCCCGTCGGGTGAGCTCTCTCTTTCTTTCGCTTACAAATGTCCCGATGTGCGAGCCTCAGCAGCTCTGGAGGCTGCAGCCGCGGGCTCAGGTTCAAGGCCACTGCTCGGAGCCCAGGCCCGGTAATGGCGAAGTGGGCCGCCTTTCTGAGTCTCTCTCTCTGTGCCCAAAAATCATAAGCAAGCACGAACAGACACAACACTCTTGTTAGAGTTCCGCGCCCTGTGTTTTGAGCGACTAGGTCCCCAGACCAAATGAGTGGCCGAGTTAGGCATCATGATGCCCACACGGTGGCCGGCGCCCACTCCCGCGGAGCTCAGGGCACCTTGCAGATTGAAGACCTTTGTGGCAAGCTCCGCGTAGCTCCAGGCAGCTCCGCCATCCTGCTCTCAAGACCCGGCTCTCACCGCTCCTCTCAACACTCTTGTGCTTCTCACTCCTGACCCAACACATGCAGACCGAGACTGAAAGAGCGAGGACCGGCTTACCTGCAACAACGCACGCACACCAGGCCTGCACGGAATTCTTGCCATGTGGATTCGTCGCAACTGCAGTGCGTAGACATTCCGCGATATCCCATGAAGAGGACTCGGCGTGATGTGCCAGGGCTTTTGCAGCAAACGTCTGCGCTTCCAGATCTGCTTGTCGACTTGGCGGTTCTGGCAGCTTTGTCAAAGGGAGTGGCTCAACAGGTGCGGGTTCCACTTGGGCGGTAGGCTCTTGGCCTGTTGCACCCCTTGCATAGAAGGAGGGCGCTGCGTAGGAGACCATGGCCTCAATGAGAACCGGACCCTTCCCATCGGCACAGCGTGCATGTGCCCACTCTGCCACCTGCTTCGCTTCCTCATCTGAGGTGACTCGTCGAGAGGGCAAACCGAGGGACTTGCCCAGAGCAACCATGTCCATCAACTCTGGAACATGCGTGCAATACACCTCGTTTTGCTGAGCGCGCTGAAGCCCGGAGATCATGCCCAACTCTCCTCAGCTGCAAGAGCTGCAAGCTCAGCTGTCTGGAGGGCAAAAAAAACCCATGAGGGGCACTTGCCCACCAAAGCAGTCAAGTCACCATCTCTAAGGATCACACAGATGACCGGGAGCTTCAACTCGAGAGCTGTTCTGATTTCCATGCCCGTCATCAAGAAGGCACCTGTGGCAGACAAGCCAGCGCCAGAAACATCGCCAGAAACACCGCCAAACACCGCTAAACACCTACACAGCCCTGAACGAATTGCCAGCAAGCTGCCATCACCGACGGTTGCCACAGACATCACTTGACGACCATTGGCCCTGGCAGCTAAGGCCGCGCCAATGGCTGCGGGAACACAGTAGCCCATGGAGGAGAAGTCGGTCGGAGCAAGGAAGCGCCGAGGGCCAGCCAGTCGCAGAAATTCGGCGGAGAGCACGGTGCCGTTTCCAGAGTCGGCCACAAACACCGAATCTGGGGGCATGGCATCCTGCAAGGCTTTGTAGAGGCCAAACGGTGAGCATTGGCCCGGCTCCGGCAGGCCCAGTGCTTCCGCTCGCATCTGGGCCTGGAGTGCCTCGTGCGCTGCCTTGAGCTCCCCTCTCAGCGTCGGATCGTGGAAGCCGCCCTCGCCGCCCTCTTCTCCTTCCTCTGCTTGCCGCATGTTTGGCTGGATTCCTCGTCTCTGCAAGTCTGACAGCATCAGACTTAGCACTGCGCACACGCTGCCGAGAACGGGCACGTCGGGCAGAAAGTTCGCACCCAACACCGTCGCGTCGGCATCCACATGCACAACTTTCATCCTTCGTGCTGGCCACTGCCTCCTGCAGGAAGCGATTTCGCCCATCTGTGCTCCCAGTATGAGGACGGCATCGCAGCTCTCCACAACCTCGCGCAACTGATTCGGCATTGCAGGTCCCGCAATGGGCCAGAGCCAGAGCGGGTGGTCCTCGCGGAGCACACCTTTCCCAGAGAAAGTGCTTGAAACCGGCGCTTCCAAAGACTCGGCCAGAAGCTGCACAAGCCCTTTGTGGCCAGAAACCTCCTCACATGCGCATCCCATTCCAACATGAATCCACGGCCGCTTAGCCGAGAGGAGCAGCGAGACAGCAGCCTCTGCACCTGCCTCTACTGGAAGTGGAGGTGGGTTCGTTAGTGGCACCGGCTGCGCTTTCAAAGCTGGCGGGATGGTTGGCTGGAAGGCTGCCAGTGCACCAGTGTCACTTGCGTCACTTGCCTCCAGAAGCGATGGGCCACGGGGACTGTCGGCACAAGCACCCCGCAAGGCTTCGAGGAAAGGGCTACGAGGCAACAGAATACTCACCGGTGCAGCAGGTGCTGCACATGCAAGCTCTGCTGCTGCCTTGAAGTCGCTCTCCCACGACTCGGGCGACGACGCCAAGACAAGCTTCTTCGAGAACTCCGTCAAAGGCCCGGTGCCATGAGCGGTCGCGTGCGTGCTGAGCACTAGGAGCAGTAATGGAACACCATCTTGCCAGGCTTCACCCACACCGGAAAGCGCTGGCAAGGAGAACGCATCAAGAGAATCCACGATGCAGGCCCCCACTGCCTTATTCCCTGCCTCAAAGCATCTCCCCGCTCCATCGGCAACGAAGCCCACGCTCTGCGCATCAGTGCAACCCACCACTGCCAAGGAACTTGCAGAGGCCGCTTCACGAAGCCTTGACACGCAAAGAGGGTGCACTTACCTTCATGAGAAAATGTCTGCATCGCCCGCTAACATGTCCTGCTCCACGTGGGGCAAATGGGGCATGCTCACTGCGTCCAAGGAGCGCATGCATCATTCGTTTGTGCCCAGGGCTGACACAGGCGGAAGACAAGACACGGATCCCTGATGCACAAAGCGCCTCGACCAAGGCTGAACTTGCTTTGACCAACTTCTCTGGGAGCTTGCCATCCATCGCGTTGATAGGGTCACCTCTCACACAGGATGCATTATACTCATCATACATCCTTCTACACGGGCCGACACCCCTCTCAAACCAAGCGAGCAAGCGAGGTTGCAGCCGAGCGACCACTACTTGCTGAACCTTGAACAGCCAGAAGGGTGGTTCTCGACGCGGAGGCATCTTGAAGAGCCACCAGTGCATTCGTGTGGTTCTGAGAATACGTTGGCGCGGCCATCTCATGTGCTCTGAGCCCCAGGCTTTGTGCAAAAGCGCGGACATCCGGCCCAGAAGGCCCAGAAGGCCCAGAAGGCCCAGACACACTGGGCACCGTCAGGATAAGGAGCGGCAGGTGGTGAGCATGCGAGAGTTCCAAGCCCTGCGCTGGCAACGCCGCCTCTTCCTGGAGCGCGATGACGATGCCTCGCTTGCCCCCTTGCTTGGACCCAGCTTGCGTCCTGGCCGCAGCAATGGCCGTCGGAGTGGCTATTCCCGGGCTCTGTGCCGCAAAGCTGCTGGGGCGGTTACCACACCCAGGACACAGGAGCTCCCAAGAAACCGTCGAGCTTGCCTTTGCAACTGCGGCTGCCTCCGCGCAGTAGCCCGGTTCTGCCACCAATGTGCAGCACAGTTCAGCTCTCGCCACCTCTGTCATGATGAAGTGTATGAAACCAATGATCGGATCATCAGCTAGCCTGCTCACGACCGAAGGGGCCGGTTGTGTTGGCGCAGGCGCATCTGGAACCAAACCCAGGTCCACGCTGGGAGCCCACTCGAAAAGGCCACGCCTGTTGTATAGATCACATGCTATCTCAACTCCCACTGGCCCCGGCCGTCCAGTCAGGGCTTCCTTGCAAGCTTCGGCGATGCTTTCGGCGATCTTCTCCACTGAAGCTGGTCGAAACAGGGCCTTGCATACTGGCTTCAGGACTGCAAGATTGTCCACGTCATGTAGCTGGAAACGCTCGGCCCCTGCACGGACACCTGCTGTCAGGACCAGCATTGGAGTTCGATCCCTCAGGGCACACGCAATTCCCCCGAGTGCATGTGTCACTCCTGGGCCTCCAATCACACAGGCACATCCCAGCTTTCGCTCCATGTGCCAGGTTGCCCAGGCCATATAGCCAGCAGCCTCCTCATTACCAATCAAGTGCATTGCCAAATTGAAGTCTTGCCGATCAGAAAAACATCCTGCTTCTGGCGGGCTGCAAATCGCATTGTACAAAGCGAGATTTTGCACGCCTGGGATGCCGTACAAGCGGCTGACTCCTGCCAATCTCAGGGCTTCCACGACGATCTCGCCACCCGAGTGTTCCACACCACTTCTCAAATATGTAGCCGGGCTGTCACTAATCGCCTGCTGGATCTGCGGCACTTCGTCCTGACCTTGTACCCCAGCAGCCTCATTTGTAGGTTCGTGGCTTGGCCGAGCGAGTGAGGGATCCGGAGCTGGATTGCTGAGAAGCTTGTCGTGCACATCCGCGGTGGTGGGTGCTGCGTGCACGGGAAAATTCTCGAGAGGGCCCAAGCCTCCCAGAGCTTGGTCTTTTGAAGTAATTGAAGTATCGGTCTTGGAGCTCCAAGATGTCGTTGTAAGCCAGAAATAGGAGAGCAGCATCGCCAAGCCAGCGAGGCACATCGGGGTCACCAATACAGCGACAGCCTTAACCTTGGCCTCGTACATGGAATCGGCAAGTGCTCTCCACGACACTTCGATGTCCGCTTCAGGCGGGCTCCACGTCTTTGATGCAAGCGGCTCGTGCATTGACCACGAGGCGGTTGCGTTTTCAGCCTGCCGACCTCGGCAAAAGGTTACAAACCGCCCATGCTTAGCATGCGAGACAGATGCTAGCACCTGTATTGCAATCGCGGCTCTGCCAGTCACCAGGGAGTCTTGACGTTCGGAGATTCGTGGTGCAAAGCTGCTGTTGTCCTCCTCGATACATTATCATGTTGCAATAAATTTCCGGACGCTGCTTCGAAGTTGTGTGTGAGCTGAACTATGCAACATGCCATGCTCCGGCCTCTAAACTCCCGGCAACACTGGCGTATCGCAGAGCGTGCGACTGCAACAGTATTTGGCTTGTTGCATTCTGCTCCTCGGCGTTGCCAGTACACACACACACACACACACGGGGAGGGTGAAAGCTTAAGCTGCATGTCGTTGATGTAGTAGGCCGTGTAAGTTTCAGACCATTGTTGAGCGAGAGGAGGAAGCATGGACAAATTTGGCCAAGACCAGCATCGTCAGCATCGCTCCTGCAAAACAGCCCCTGGAAAAGGCCGCGCTGCAAACGGCAACCGCAATCGGGAGCCATGCCAGCTAGCAGCTAGTGTCTTGGTGAAGCACATTTTTCTAGTTCTTGATAGAGGTGAAGCATATATTATTGTAAACAAAGTAGATACACAAACTTGCGTGAGCAAACGCGCAGCTTACACTTGTACTTGTACACATGCCGTCGCTTTGTTTCGTTTGACAGAAGCTCAGGCAGCTAGGAGGGTCTACTTGTCATTCCAAGACAATTGTCGTTGTACTCGCTGCAAGTGGACTTTCGCCACAGAACCGCCGACAGCACGCCCACGCTCGCGTAGTAATGTCGCTTTGGCAACCGGTAACGCTACCATCCTTCATAGATGCAGTGGCAAAACAGCACGCGAAGCACCATGCAGGATCCCGGACACGACGTGACCAAGAGCATTTCGGTCAATGAGAAGAACTGCCTGTCAGTTTCCGTGTCACACGCGCCTGGAAAAGGCGTGCAGTTTCAACCTGCCATCTAGCTGAAGTTTTGTGACCGTAGTGCAAGGCTACAGCTATGGCATTCTGCAACAGGCAGGGAACACAGCCTGCAACACATCGGGCCGTATGGAACCGAACTGTTGAACCCCACGAAGCAAGCTCAACGGTTTCCAGTACGACGCTCAGCGCCTTGTCAACGAAACATGACACACGTCCGGACAGCGCGCACAACTGCAGAAGCGATGCAATTGACTGTCCTGTCATACGGATCACTCCCATCTTGTCAAGCTCAACCTCGCAGGGCAACATATCCGGATAAGACTCGAACTGCTCATGCTCATGCAAGTTGCGGAGACAGAGCCTGCCTGACAGATGCGAAGAAGAGGTAAGGTAAAGGGATACAGCCCGTGTAAGGTAGTGTAAGATAGCTTGAGATGAAACTCTTGTGACAAAGCTGGATCAGCTGGTTTGTCTTCCACCTGTAGCTTGCACTTCCCATGCCGAGTGCCCTACCCTCACTACCCCTGGCAACAGCAGCGCTCGGGCACCTTTTTACTTGCAGGCCCATCTGCCACATGTCATCATTGGCCTGGTGCTGGCATCTCTGATATATTATGATGCATTGAGGCTACCGCCATAGGTTGCACAGCTATGTGGCGGGTCGCCTCATCGCCCTCGCCGTCCTCGGCTTCGACTGTCACGCTGCCGGCTCCGCCGTGGCCGGCGGCTGCGACTCCTCGCTCCCCTTCTGAGCGCCCGCAAGCAGACCAACACATTCCACTCCAACTGGCAGCACTTCTGATTCTTTTCGGGGGCGCCTCTCCCCCTCACACATCCCCATGCCCCCGACAGCAAGGGGGCGGCTTCGCGGCCCATCAGGCTCTGAGTATAAGACTACTCGTGTTGCCCGTAAGACGTGGAACCTGCACCAACCCCATGGTCATGGCTGCCCTAATTTCTGACGCCTCCTGGAACGGGAGGAAGATGGAGATTGCTTTCGACCACGCTCCTTGCAAGTGATTGAACAACACTAGGAAGCAAACATGGGGCACTCCGAAGCACATCTCCTTTTTGCGCTCTCCAAAGCTTTCTGCTGGAGGTGGGTTCGGAGCGCTGGAGCCACTGAAACCACTGCTGAAACCTGAAATGAAGCGAATGTGGGCGTGTCGGAGAGCTGCGACCCCAGAAATCAGACGAAGCACCTGAAGATGTGTTCTGCTGCGCCTGGGCGATAAGCTTCGCCTCAGCACCAGAACGCGATGGTTCGCTCGACGTCCCCGCGGGTGCAGCCCCGCATCTGAGGATGCGGCAAAGTTGGCTTTGCCCAATCCCGTGGGCACATCATGTGAAAACTTGCATGCTGCGCCACCTGACTTTCCAGAGGTATGAGAGCAAGGTATGGAAATACATGAAACACGTCCTCGTCGTCTGGGATGCGGGCGCGTGCACGCCCCACGCCGGTAGTCTGCGCAAAGCTCCCGTGGTTTCGTTGGGTTTGTACCTCTGCATGGCAAAAAGCCTTATTGGCAAAACCCCTTCACAGACACACCTACCACAGACATACCTACGCATCCCCTTTCGCAGGCCGCAACTTTAACCATCAAGCGCATCCTCACTGTGGAGTCTTCGAGCTGCTTTAAAGAGCTGATTTTGTTTTTGCTGTGATGCTCTATCAGATTTACCCGGCTGACGTGTTAGAAAATCCCATCTCGGCACCTCAAATGTGCCACTTAATCGATGGAACTTGGTCTCCCTGACAGCAGTCTTGGACCCCCCCCCCCCCCCCCCCCCCCCCCCCCCTCCCCCCCCCCCCAAAAAAAAAAAACTCCCCAGGCTTCATGGACGGAAGAAAGTGGGACTGAACCCGTACCAAACGGCATCTTGGATTCGCGAAGCTCCGGTTATCAAGGTTTGCTTTCTTGGTTTGCGGTGTTCCGTGTTTCCCTCAGCCTGGCCCGAGCAAAGAGGAATGTAGCCCCTCCCCCCCTCCGGCAGGATGACTGTAGGGGCGTCGGGGCTTTCTATGCCTTCTATGCCTTTCTGGACTCGGACCAGCATGTGTTCATTCGCAGCTGAAAGCTGAGAACCACAAGTTGAACAAGCCTGACACACAAACCCTGAGAACTGGATTGCCTTGTTGCTCCTTCAAGGTGTCAGTCTTGGTGCTTTGCATCTTTAGTGGAACCTATCTTCGTTGTGGCATCCCAGCCAGCTGTAACCCATGACTACGACGCAACATGATCACGGACTTCATCAGGAGCGCCCGCCGCGCTCTTGCTCCGGCTCTCGCTCTTCCGCTGTTCATCTTGCTCTTGGTATTGTTATTGTTCTTGTGTTTGTGCTTGTGCTTGTTCTTGTTGTTGTTTTTGTGCTTGTGCTTGTGCTTGCGTTTGTGTTTGTTATTGTTCTTGTTCGTGTTCTGTTATTGTTCTTGTTCTGTGTTCTTGTTCTGTGGTCTTGTTCTGTGTTCTTGTTCTGTGTTCTTGTTATTGGTGCTTGTTCTGGGCTCTTGCTCTTGTTCTTGTTCTGTGTTCTGTGCTCTTGTTCTTGCTCTTGGTCTTGTTCCTGTTCCTGTTCCTGTTCGTGGTCTTGGTCTTGTTCTGTGTTCTTGTTCTGTGGTCTTGTTCTGTGTTCTTGTTCTGTGTTCTTGTTATTGGTGCTTGTTCTGGGCTCTTGCTCTTGTTCTTGTTCTGTGTTCTGTGCTCTTGCTCTTGCTCTTGCTCTTGGTCTTGTTCCTGTTCCTGTTCCTGTTCGTGGTCTTGGTCTTGGTCTTGTTCTTGTTCTTGCTCTTGTTCTTGTTCTTGTTGTTGTTCTTGTTCTTGTTCTTGTTCTTGTTCTTGTTCTTGTTCTTGTTCTTAGTTATTGTTGTTGCTCCAAAAGCCAGATTCTGACAAAACAAACACGGCAAATTTCTGAGCAAGCAATACATCTGAGCAACCATGCTCATGTCCTGTTTGTGGTTTTGTACTGCGCAGGCCCAAACAGTGCCACCCACATTTTGCTTCCCAAGAGGACTCGAAGCACGACACACAGACGTTTCCCCAGAGTTTGCACGTTATGGAAGGGAAGAGGGGCGCGAACCCTACATCTTTTCATCCCTCAAAGCAACCGTTTGCTTTGTGTAAACCCTAGGTACTTCGCCTTAACCCTCATAGCGAAGTTTAGTGCGAACCCCTCTTCTCTTCAACACACAAAATCTAGCCCCCGCGTTTACAAGAAACAATGCAAAATCACAAACGGTCGCCAGTGATCTTGGAGAAACTCTGAACCAAAAGGAAACAAAATCACAGCCAACATGTCCGTAAGAAGTGAAACCTTTCAGTTAGTCAAAACATTGGAGATTTGAGCTCATTGACTACTATGATTCAACACATGACAACGACGACGACGATGACGATGATGACGACGACGACCACCACCACGACGACGACCACGACGACGACGACGACGACGACGACGACGACGACGACGACCACGACGACGACCACGACGACGACCACGACGACGACCACGACGACGACCACGACGACGACCGCGACGACGACCACGACGACGACCACGACGACGACCACGACGACGACCGCGACGACGACCACGACGACGACCACGACGACGACCACGACGACGACCACGACGACGACCACGACGACGGCCACGACGACGACCACGACGACGACCACGACAACGACCACGACGACGACCACGACGACGACCACGACGACGACCACGACGACGACCACGACGACGACGACGACGACCACGACGACGACGACGACGACGACGACGACGACGACCACGACGACGACGACGACGACGACGACGACGACGACGACGACGACGACGACGACGACGACGACGACGACGACGACGACGACGACGACCACGACGACGACCACGACGACGACCACGACGACGACGACGACGACGACGACGACGACGACGACGACGACGACGACGACGACGACGACGACGACGACGACGACGACGACGACGACTGTCGGGGAAAGGATTCGACAGGCACCCGCAGAGGGTCAGGCCCTTGCCGTGCCACTTGTAACCCTTGGCCTCAAAATCCTCAAACTTGTCTAGATCCCCCTACGACCCAGTTTGCACCAGGACATTATTTGCACCAAACTGGAACCCTGCCGCACCTGTCTCGGCGGCGATGGCCTGCAAGCATCAGCACATACGGCCAAATCCTTCCTTGTTGGCCCACGCGTACCCTCGCCGAGGCCTTTTCCAGGTCTGAGAGCTTGACGATGAGGAACCCAGCAGGGCTGCGTGCCCGAGACAGGCAAGCAGCGAAATCTTTCAGATCCTCAGTACCCCAAAGAGGTCCAGCATCTGCTTGCTGAAGGCGCAGGTCAGTGCAAAGCAACCCAGCGCCATTTGATCAAGCAGCTGCCTCCCACTTGTCACCCCGCTTGTTCAGGGCCTGTGCATCGTCTGATTCAATTGATTGAAATTGGGCATTCCAAAGTTCAAAGTGGAGGGCTGCTGCCTCCAATAACCGGTTCTGGAGCTGATCCTCGATGCTAAACCGGGCAGCGAATGCTTTCACCTTTCAACAGCACAAAAGGCGCTACAACATCAGCAACAGTCCAAAGCATGGGCATCAGGGTCCCCGGGGCCCGCCTCCGTTGGTAAGTCACGCGTCCGCGGTGGCACAAGCCCTGGAGATCCTAAACATTGCATCCAACGTGTGACATGAGGCTGAGATGCCGCAAACAAGCGCGAGCTTTGAGCGTGGGAAGCTCAGATGGCGATCCTGGAAAGGATCCATGATCTGCCTCATACTCTTGTTGCTGTGCCTGCCTGAGATGCACAAAGGGCGTGTTTAAGGCGACGCAAAGCTCTTGGAAGGAATCATATTGCTCAGTCAGGTTGCTGGTAGGCCAGGAGTGCTGCACTGTCCAACGTCTGAGGTTGTCCTGGCAGCTGGAGCTTTGTTGCTGCAACTTTCCTGATGCAATGCATGGCACTCCTGTGACAGGAGCTGCTGTGCCATTCATAGCCTGGCATAGTCGAGCGGACATTGCGCCCGACAGGGTCTGTACTGCACAACGCCTAGGGCCTGGTGGGCCTAGCAGGGATGGACTACATCATAAACATGGCAGGGCAAACGACTGCAGGCGGACGGGCCGGGACCGTAGACGGAGAGCTTTGTGGCACAAATGCTGGTGTCACCGCACCTTGCCAAGTGCCAAGCCAAGAGCAAGACAGCCGGAAGCACGTGTTGAAATGCCTTATCAAGCAAGACCTCGGCAATCACACTGCAACTACAGCGCCACTCCCCTTCCCTTCAAGTCGCCGAGACTCGAGACTCGAGACAGGCCAAGGCACTCATGCCAGCTGCGGCGCATGGACGGGGTGGGGCCACAGTCACGGCGCTCACGCCAGGTGGAGCCGGAGCAAAAGCGGGGCCTTCAAAAAACTTCAACACGGGCCCCCTCCCCCCCCCGGCAAAGGGCTGCTCTGGAACATCAGCAAATGTTCACAAAGCATATGGTGCCTCCTTGACTCGGCATTTGCCAAGATGCATCCCAGCCGCCCCCGCCCCATCCCCAGGAGGGGTTCGGAGGATTGGCATTCCAAGCCCCTCCCTTGTTCCAGCTCCATGCATCACCACAGCCTGGCAACAGCTGGAAGTCCACTTTGTAAAAAGCTCACCTCAGCGCACTTGCTGGCCTTTCCCCTGCCACATGGGAAGCACATCCGCATCTACTGGACAAGCATTCGGGGAGCTCCTGGTTCGTTTCAAGCCGGCATGGGTTACTTCGAATAAGGTGTCGCAACCGGCGTGTGGCTGTTTGGATGCAGGTGCTCAAGATGCTGCCTGTGCATGTGATCCCAACAGCTGGCGGGCCTCACTTGAACAGACCACACTCCAGTGACTGGGCACATGTCTTCATGACTGTGAATGAGCACAAAGGCGACCGTTGAGCTTCAAGTGCCATGTGTGCGGCAAAACATGGCAAAACGCACAGCAGGACCACAAACCAAGGAAAGTTGCATCCCCGTGGCGCCACAGCTTTTGTCTCTGCAAAACTGCGAGACTCGTCGGTGGGCTTCATTGGCCCGAGTGAAAGAGGAACAACTCGCCGACTACAAACTGTCCGCAGTCCGAGTCTTCGCCGCTAACTCTTCTTTATTCGCTTTCCTCTCAAAGTGTCATGTCTAGGGCTGCGGATGAGCAGCCTGCTATGTACACTTCGATGTCGTTCGAGGGCGCTTCACAGCAATCCCAATTGAAGGTGCCGGTTTTCTTTCATTGTCTCGAGGCATTCTTCGCATCATCGTCAGGAACTCGTCGAAGTCGATCTTACCTCAATCTCAGCATCAGCTTGCAGCTTCAACACGGTCGAAGGATGTCGAAGGCTTCCGGCCATCTCCGTTCAAGTCCACTTCTTTCATGATCGCATCAACCTCCTGCTTCGTATACCTTGGCTGAAAGGCACATCAAGAATCCTTCCATCTGCTTGGCGGCACCACAGCAACCGTTCGCAGCCGGGGCTCTTTATTTGCATCATGTCGGAGACTCGATTGTCACCCCCAAGCAGCTTCATCAGCTCCTCGGTTGTTGAATGTGTGAACTGCTTTCCGGCCCATGGGGCCCATGGTCACTTCTGATATCTTCTGATTCTGGTCCTCCTTGTCAATGTGACCGCTGCCATCTTGATCAAAGGTCTTGAAGGCCCTCCAACACGCTTCCTCGCCACATGTTGGGAGGCAGAACGCAGACTGGCCTGCTACACTATGCCCATTTCGTCGCATCTCACAGGGGCCTCGCAACACAAACATGGCTGCGCCTCCGCCACGAACTGGCGTTTGTCCAGCGTGGCTGCCATGAACTCGGAATAGTCAATGACCCCACTTCCGTCTGTGTCAATCCTGAGCTGAATGCCAAAGCTGACTAAGTGACTAGAGACCGTCTTGCAGCCTTTTTAAGGGTCCCCGACCGGTCCATCATGGCATAAAGGTCAGGAGGAACAGCCACCCCTGCCTCGGAGTCACGGTCGCTCTCTACCACGCAAAGTTCTCCGGGGCGCGCACTTGTGCCTTGACCAGGCCATCTTTGAGCTCAGCAATACTCAGAGTGCCATCGTTGTTGTCATCCATGGCAATGAAGAGCTCCTGCTGCAAATACGCTCAACTCAGGCGCCCAAGCACAGCATTCTCGAGTCATCTCCAATCTTGTGCACAGTGCCACCTTCAGCTCTTTGATGGCATCATCAGTCAGCTGCGTTGCAATGATGTTCAGCGCTGCCTTGTGGGCCATTCACGTGACCATTTTTGCAACTGGCCATGGGGCCAGGATCGGGGGACCTTCTTTAGCTTGTTCATCACTGCGAAGCTCTTCAGATTCTGCACCACGACCTGTGGGAATGGGGCCACGCGCCATGTCTGTGGACCGCACCACGTCCGCGACAAAACCGGATACACAACGGCACAGCACGAGAAACCAATAAGAATCAAGCCCCCAAGACATCCCAAGACCTCACTCCAAAAGCAGCTTCCTGGCCTGGGAGGCATGTGTCATGTCTGGCTGCGTCCTCAATTCCAAATCACGAAACGACTGGGATTGTTTAATCAACAAAATATTGAAGGACAGGCTCTGGAGCCGGCCCTTCCGCCCCCCCCCCCCACCCACCCCAGATTTTGCCAAGGCGCATGTCTATCTGCTTTGTGATCCACTCCTCCTTCAAAGCCGCTTCAGCGTTGACTCTCAGAGACGGATCCCGCATGAGAAGGACCTCAGCGTGCATACAGCTACTGCTGCTGCCATATCAAAGAATGCCACAGCGTTGCCTTCAACATGTCCTTTGCCTCTTTGGAGATCAGCTTCCACTCCTCTTGCACAAGCCACGGTGAATGTCGTGAAATGGTCATAGTGCATGCATCGTGAGCATTCTTGCGCTGAAGATCGGTACTCGAGGTGCCTTCTTGTCAAAAGACAAATCGGAGCGCTTGACAGACTCGAGGACGGCCATCGTATCATTTCCAGAGAACGGTGGCGTGCCGCTCAGTAAGATGTACCTGGCACAATGGTGCCAAGAACGATGCCACAGTGATGCCACCTTACCACTTGGTCAATCGGCATGGTGCGCATGATCACCCCGATGCTCCACACGTCGCACAGCTCGTTGTAGTGACCTGCGAGAACCTGACCATGGCTGGGAACCAGCCGGTGAACACAAACTGCACACTTCTGTACTCAAAGGATGGGAAGCAGAGACTGTGTTGCTACATGTGATTCCGCGTTGGTGTCTTTGCGGCCTTGATCCTGTGCAGAATGGTGCGCCGGATGCTTGGGGCTTAGGCCAAGCAATAACACCAAACATGCAGCAGCAGCAGCAGCAGCAGCAGCAGCAGCAGATGCAGACGCGTGTGGGGTCTGCCTCCTCGTACATTCTCAACAGAACAGTCAGACATCCAAAAGTGGCATCTCGCGCAAGAAGACCCCACCACACTTCGATGCCCATACAAGCAGTTTCTCTTCAACATGGGGGAACTGGCAAAGAAGCCGAACCAGGATGCACCAGGCAACTGGCCAAGATTGCCCCCAGACTCGTGCACCGTGCGCTTCCAGCAACCAGCAAACCCAATGTTTTACAAGACGGTACACATTGGCTCGCATTGGCCACATCCGTAGCCTCAGGAGCCACGTAGTACGGAGCCCCAGCCTGAGACAGTATGCCGAGTACGCTCGCTATCGCTCAGGAAGCAAAGGCGGCCAGGAGATGCCTATGAAGTGACCCAGATATACATGTGTTGATATATATATATATGTATATACACATATCATGTATAGTTACTTATGCTCATGTATGTATATATGTGGAGTATATGGTACCCACCCCCCGCCCCCACGGAACCTACCCTCTTAAAGCTTTTCTTGGTTGGGAAGGGGAAGAAATGCCGAAAACCCTAACAACCCTAACAACCCTAACAACCCTCACAACCCTAACAACCCTAACAACCCTAACAACCCTCACAACCCAACAACCCTAACGACCCTAACACAGCCCTAAACCCGAAGCCGGCGGAGGGTTCGTTTTTGCTAAGTGCAGCCTGGCTTTTGGCGCGGCTTGGCTTGGAGGTTTTGTTTCTTAGGTGCGGCTGGTTACACCCCAATGCATTTAGCCTTAAAATTCAAAAGTTGTCAGCGTTAAGAACCCTAAGCCCCAAACCAAAAAACTAACCCAACTACGCCACCCGCGGGGGGGCCGGGGCAGGGGAGGGTGGGGGGGACTGGGGGGGAGGGGAGGGGGGGGGGAGCACCTTCTCAGATATTCCTCTTTGCCTACAGTCCTATTATATTCACATCTTCATGTATTCATAAACTCATACATTCAATATTCATAAATGCATTTTGATTATCGCTCTCGTGCTCGATACGAGTCAGAGCGCGCTTCATTCTCATGAAATCAGCAATCATCACCCCCATGTGTGCCTTTGTGGTGGCAAAGTCGCCCGGCGTGAAGCGCTTGGACAAGCCAAAGTCCACCATCTGGCAAAGATCATCTTGCAGCGAAACTTCTTCTCTACTACGTGGAGATAGGTGCAATGCGCACTGCAGCAGCCAGCATGGCTCTCAAGCTTGCAATCGAGTACACTCTCGCGAGCCTTCAGGTGCGTCTTCAGAATTGCTTCCTTCGTACTGGCACTCCCAATCCCCCCTTCCACTTAGCATGGCTCCGATTAGGCAACTATAAAGACTCCAGCGCAAAACAGAAGGGTCGCTGACGACCACCAATTCCCAAGGTGAATCGCCCTAGACTTCACGCAAAACGGTCAAGAAGGAATGGCCAAACCAGAGGCAAGGGTCGGTCTCTGCAAGCAACCAGTTCTCTGGCTTGAGGTCACCTCAGGTCATACATCTGTTGAACCAGCGCTGCGCGAGTGCTGGAGCGAGTTTCCCGATGCCCGTCTGTAGAATGTCCAGGAACATGTTGGAACCGGATAGCTCGTGACAGCCCCGAGCGCGCCACAATGCATGATGCAATTGCTGTGCAGGTAGTTCACGGCTCGGAGCATTTGTTGCACGCAGTACGCAGCAACCTTTGTCAAAATGACGAGTTCCAGCGCCCCTGAACGCGAGACGTGCAATGCAAAGGGCCTGCTCAGTGAATTTGCCGTCTGCAACAATGCGATCAAAGAGTTCACCCCCGGAGCAAAGCTCCAGCCTGCAGCCGTTCAGAGAGGCCAGTGAAGAGAACTGGAAGCGCAAGACTTACGAAATCTTACGAGATTCTCAGCCGGCGACACCAAGTACACGTTTCTTTCATCATCGAACGTCTCACAGGGTTGGCAGGTAAAGCTCGCTCCACCGCCCCCTATGGCCCTATGAACGAATGCGAGGCCTCTTGGAGGCGGACGATGTTGGGATGGTCCAGGAGCTTCATAATCTCCATCTCTTCTGTGAACCTCATGTGACTGCAGACTCGCCTCTTGGACCATTCATCATCAAGCGCTTCCATGCGAAGACTATGCGAAGAACATGAGCGCTGAGAGAAACACCTTTCGACGTTCTTGACCCTTTTCTTGTTGATCGTTTTGACAGCTCTCCATTGTCCCGTGTCCTCCGTCTCACACCAGTGGCAAAGAATGGTAGGGTGGAGCACCACGGCCTTGTATCTGCACTTCTGTACAGATCCAAAGGAGCCCTCACCCAAGACCTCGGCAACGCGAAGCAACGCGAGCGGGAAGCTCCACTACAGCTAAATGATCGATGGTGCACTGGTTCAGGATTCGCTCCGTTTTGTCAAGGCAGCCAGGCCACCTCCTTCTCAACTTCATAAAAGTCCTCGAGCTTCCCTCTGTTCGAAGCAGCAAAAGCCCCGATGGAGAAGCCTCCAGCTTTGACGGACAGCTTGGCACGCGCCTGTACAGGCATTGGGACCACTGCAGTTCACAAACAGTTGACAAACATGCACAAACATTCACAAACATTGACAAACATTCACAAACCCGCCCCAAAGCCTGCGGAGCGTCGGCTTTGCGGATCTCCATCTTCTCCTCCTGATCGAATCACTTTAACTACACAGAAGAACGCAACACGCCTGGCCCGGGGGGCGTGACCTTGCAGCATGCAAGCATGCCTCCCATAGCACCTGCCGCTTGGAAAAGCTGCTGTGAAAACAATTGAAAACAACTAAATCTCACACAACTTCGGGCGGATGAGAGGTCCGCACCGGCCACATGTGCGGGGCGGGATATCCGCAGGGAGGCATCCACACCCACATGCCATGCAGTGGAGCTTAAAGCTGTGTTCGTAGTAAGAGGTTCATGCTCCGCGGATGTTGCTCTGGACCCGTCTTGCAACAAAGGAGGTCTACAAAAGATGCGCACATGTTTTGCTGGTGACGATTCTGTTGGATTCGCACGGATGGTCGTCTGAAGCAGGGCGACATCAAACATGCACCTTCACATCCGAGCGCTTCTTGGATGTAAGCTTTTTTCAGACACGCAAAATCAGACGGCTCTTTTATTCTTTTTGCGCATACGTCAGAGATGCAGGAAAGGCAACTCACAACGGTGATCAAAGATGCACACATCCGCTTCGGGTTTTGGTGCCTTGCTTCTGGGAAGAGCAAGGCAAGGCTTGTCTCAAACAAACCATGTGACCCAGCGTTCGGGAGCTATTCTCCGAACTACTTGATGTACTGTTTCAAGTCTTTCCGCAAAAAGTCAAACAGCTCGCACTTGCCCTTGGGATCCGGTGCGATGCAATCCATGTGACCAGCATTGAGACTCACGTTCTGAAACTTGCCCAACGTCATGGCAGCCCAATCCTGAAGGTGCTCTGGCTGGCTGCCCTCATCAAGAAGAGGGGCGAAGGCGGTTATGTTGGCAGGAAATGCTCTAAAGTCCCGTTCTGGATCTGGATACATGGCATCACGATATTGGTGCCGCATGAGGGACAGCATCTGTGACAGAAACTTGCTGCCTTTGACCTGCTCGACGAACTCCTCGTCGGTTGTTTCTATTGCTACCCTCCTGAGAACGACATTCTCTGGCTGAAGGCTGCTGAACCAGGTTAAGAGCTCGCGGTCTCCAGCACCCTTGAAGGACAGACTTAGATTCTCCCAGGCAGTTGCCTGCCCCTCGCGCATCGCGCCGCACGCCGCGATATAAACATGCTTCACTCTGGAGCCCAGGCGGGTTGCCACACATACAGCTGGAGAAGCTCCTCTGCTGTGCCCGAAAAGTATCAAGGGCTGCTCTTCGTCTTGTGCCACTTCGTTGATCTCATCAATCACCCTATCAATGTATTTTGCCCAGGGCTTTCGCCCTTCACCTTCCAAGCCATAGCCATCTGGGAAGTGAAAAATCGCGGCGTCGGCCACTCCGGAGGCACGCACTGCCTCCATTAACTTTTCTAATTGTTTCTCTCCGTCTTTGACAGAAAAGCCTCCTGAGTACCAGGCACAGAAGAGTGGAGGTCGGGGGGGCGGTTTCAGGATGCAGCTGAGCAAATCCTTGTCCGCGAGATTGATGCTCACCCAGCCCGTGTCCGGACCAGTTCCTGTCAAGAGTTTGTAGTGCAGGCGCTTTCCGACCAAGTCGATCTGCTCCACAAGCGAAGCAAAGGACAGGCGCTCTTTCAACTCCTTGCTCTTAAGACTCTGCTCCTCACGAACGACGATGCCACCCTTGTCTTTGCCGCCGATGACTTCCCAAACCGCCTTTTCCGCCATTGCTCGGACCTAAGCTTTTCCCATTCTCTACAGCTTGCTCAAAAACAGATGCGAGGTGCAGCTGTGAAAACAAAAGCTGCGCGCATGAGCGCAATGGCGCGAGCAAGCTTGATGTTTTGCGGAAGCAGAACCAGTGCTGAACCGCGTCCTGGCTGTTTCCACGTTCAAAGGCAAAACTTTTTCTCGAGCGCTGGCTTCGTCTGTGCCTCGAGAAAAAATGATATGCTTCAAGCACCGCACATGGCGCCTTGCGCAAGTGCAAGTTGTAAGCCTAGCGTAGCTCAGCCGCAATGTAGCGAACGAAAGCAATGTAATCAGGCCATGGGAGACCTCTACTCCCACTCTACTCATCACCAACAATTAAGGTTTTTGCCGACTTCTTGCGGATAAGAGGATGGTCCAATCCTTCGAGCGACACGGGTCGATCCTTTAGCTCGGGCGCAGGTGCTTCTTCGGATTCATCCTCAGGCATTGGCGATCTGGGTCCGAAGCGGAGCATTGCCACAACACCGGCAACGCCAAAGAAGCTCACGAAGTACATTCCGCCACCACAGCACATTCCCACAGCACACGCCAGCCAAACGCCGCAAGCGGTTGTAAGGCCTTTGATCTGGCCAGAATCCTTGAAGATCAGGGCACCACCCAAGAAGCCCACTCCCGATGGCAAAGCAGCGGCAACACGAGATGAATCCCACGTCTGTGTTCCTGCCTCAAATGCATAAATCGAGCCAATCGTGAAGATGCATGCCCCGAGCGAGACTAAGCTCATTGTGCGCACACCAGCTCCTCTGTTTGACTCACGCCTTTCAATACCAAGCAACGCGCCAAAAAGTAAAGAGAACATCATTCGACGCGCGAATTCTGTCTCTTGCTGTGTGAGAAAAAGCAGCTGTGGCCAGCGATGCGTCCTGTATCTCCAGTCATTCGGGAAAAGGACGTTGGGAACATTGGGAACGCCGCTTTCCGAAGCGTGCGTCTGCTTGATGAACTTCTCCTGACCAAAAAACTTGACAGCAGTTCGTGAGGTAACGAGTTGAAAAGGTAGGACATGTGCAACATGGAACTGCGGTCACATCGATACAAAGCAAGATAAACAAATCCAAGATTCGACCAGCTCCTCGCCGTAAAGTGGCTCAACAATCAGCGAAACCACTGCAAAGGCTGCAAATGTAGATGTCAACACCACGGCAGATTTGAAAGCCAAAGACTTTCCGCCAGATGCTGATGCAGCTGCAGGGTTCCAGAAGTGATGATGTGACTCTGTCCCTTGTGCCATGGCAACGCCGAGTTGGCGGTGGCTAAACCTGCCCCTTTTGAGCCTTTCGAACGAAGGGTGACATCCCGACAACAAAGAAACACAATAACTGCGCGTGCATCCAGGCATCGCAGCCCTGGCCGCAAACACGCACGTTGACTTTTTAGCTCTCTTGTGCCTGCTCTGGCCCAAATCACAAATCCGATTCGCCAATGATGAGACATGTAACTACTTCCACTGGAGGCCTGCCGCAGGAACCTCCTGCGCGCCTATCTGAACCCACAACTCGTGAGAAAACGAAGGTCGTACTTAGCTTCCAGCTTTGTTTGCACACTTGCATCTTCTTTCAAAAACAGCTCTCACGATTGTCTCGACCCGTCCGAACCAGCTGAGAATGGATCTGGGCAGATGTTGCTTTGAGCGTCACCTCCCTAGGTCTCTGATTCCTGCTTTTGTGATCAATTTGTGGCTGGATGCCTGAAGCCAAATTCGGCATGTCACAATCCAAGTGTGCAATCGTCAAGGTGCCACAGATTCGGGGTTCAAAGCACCCTCCTACCATGCAGCCGAGACAAGTTTTTAACGAGGCCACCGCCATCAAGCTTGCGATGCTCCGGCATTTGCAGCTAGCATCAATTAATGCCAACTTGAACCGCATCTGTACAATTTTTTTGGTCCAGGAGGCATTCGACCATTTAGTGCAGCGCTTGCATCGCCGCCACGTCCTCGCCGCTAGCCTTGCACAACCTGCTGACAGAGGACATCTCTCTAATCACATCCTCTCTGAATGCTGCTACTCTTTCGCGGCCTCTGTCGGGCAGCCCAAGGTCCAGGTGTACGTGGTACCGGCCGGGCAAACCTGAAGCCCAACCTGGAAAGAAAGCCCTGAGAGCTTTCATGTATCTGATGAAGCCGCAACATGCTTAAGAACTTGGCATGTACAAGCTTGCGCGGCTGCTTGCGACAGGTTGCGGCATCATCATACGCATAGCCATAAACATTTGCGCCTCAGCCGAACGCACCGAACGAAGCAACTCTCAAGTGCAGCGAGCTGAGATGAAGGCATTTTTCGTGGATGAGCTTGACGAATGCTGTCTGCTCTACGGGGCCGGTCCTCAACAGACAGCTTCCGAACGCGTTCGCTGTTGAAGCAGGAATCAAGCACCAGTCCTGCACTGTTGTGGGCTCACGGGCGGGGTCGGACAACAATACATTTTGGCAACATCGCCTCGGCTCAGCCAGCAAGGTAAAACACTTGCTCGTGATGCATCGCATCAACTTCCGCTTCAAACCAGACACTGTTCGGAGCATTCTGGCCAACCTTGTTGCCCCAGTTCCTCGGCGAAGTTTGGATGTCTGAAATATCCAATGGCACTTGAAAATCAGCCACGGCGTTTGCAAGACTGGCATCAGATTTAGCACTGCGCTCGCAAACTTGGTTTCTACTTGCGCTGCAGCAGATAAGCCGATAAGCCGACAAGCCGGCAATAAGCCGTATGCTGTATACGCCGTCTGAGCTGATGCACCGACATGCCGGTGAGCCCACGGGCCCTCCAGCTTACCCGGGAAGGGCAAGCTTGTTGGCTTCTATCGGTTCCTTTCGGCTTATGTCGCATAATTGGCTTCTTCGCTTCTCGGCTTATAAGCAGATATGAGCCGACATGAGTCGATATAAAACGAAAACAAACACTCGAAGTGAACACAAAGGCTTTGCTACAGCGAAGTGCGCTCAGTTCTTCCAGCTTCTTCCGAGAGGACGGTCTCGGATGCAACGTATCGGTGCAATCGATATCCCAGTCAGAAGGACCGACCGGTTCCTGGTGGTCCGACTGCAGACTAGAAAGCAACGGAGAACATACAGGAGGAGGAGAGGTCTGGTGGGAAGAACAATATTTAAGTGCTTTTGCGAAAATGGCCACGGATATCCGCGGAGGCCTCGGGCCGTAGATGGGGAATCCGCTGCCCTCCGGCCCCCTTTGCTGGTGCCCAATGGTTTTCTCGGTTTTTACTACTTTTTACAGACAAGCGCTCCTGAACCCTAAGCGCACCTCAAGCTCGCAGGGCCGGGCCGAGGGTCGCGCAGCTAATAAACTAAACAAGTATTCGAGAGGAGCACAAGAGAGCACTTGCTAAGGTTGTCACTTGGAACTAAGCGCAATAAGCTTGCCCTTCCCGGGTCAGCGCTTGGGGTTGTTCTGTGTCTCTTGCCATGATGCTGAGGTCGCGGCGAAAAATTGAAGCAACAGCAAGCAACCAACCCGAAAATTCCAGGGAAGAACCCCTCAAAAGAAAGGGCTGCGCTATTTTTAAACCCAAACAGCACCCACTACTCTTGCTGCAGACAGAGGGCGAGTACGAAAGTTTGCCACATGGCGAATAGCAGCCTACAACCTAGCAAAGTCCAAGGGCGCTCAGAGAAGGAACACATGTCTTTTGCTTGGACGTGCAAAGGAGCCTTCGAGGATAAATGATCCCAAACACGAAGGTCCTCTGACAGCAGCGGCCATTGAAGCATTTGTTGCAACTTCCGCGCTGCTGGCAGTCCTGGTTTCCAACATCTCCAAGCCATTCGTCAGCCGGGCAATCAGCCAAGGACAGGCCCAGGCAGTCAATCTTCTTGGCCTGAATGTGTCGGGCGTCAGCATGCAGCGGGACATCTGAATGCGGATGTACCACAGCTGCCTGCGGACAGTGGCTGCTCATTTCGAGCTTGTAAGGCAACCTCGGCAAGAAACCATGCCAAGCAACCATGTAAGGCGAATCCCGCTGGGTCCAACTTGTGACACATCCGACGTCCCAAGCAACGCCTGCTGCCCTTTTCAGCTCAGCTGCGAGTAACCATCAACGGCGCTTGTGTCGAACCAATCACATCCCTAGCGCAAGCTTTGACCCTTGTGCAACTCAGGGGGGGGGGGGAGGAAGCAGTCGCAACATGAGACAGATGCACAAGTCGCTCCAGGCGTGGCCTCGTTTTTGGTCGCGCAATCCACCCCAACAGCTCCAAAGCTTGCCTGGCAGAAGAGGGACAAGAGAGTAGACGTTCCGTGGCAAAAGTGTGCACATGGAACAACAAAACACTGCCTCAAACTTGGAGTCTATTGGAGGGGCACCTCGGCCCAATATCGCAAAACCACCTCTTCTCTCCATCTCACTGACGACTGCTGTCACTTTGCCGCTGAGGAACACCCACCATCTGGACAGTCTTGTCCATCACCTCCACTGGAGCCTTCGAGCGGCGAGAAATGAATTCACAAAGTGGTGCTCAACAACTTTTTTCTCAGCACTCAAGTAAGAGCCCTGGGACCGGCAAGTCGCATGCGCCACAGGGCAAGGCTGAAAGCGCAAAACGAAGATCAGCTGTGGGAGCTTCGTTGGGCTACGGCTACGGGGAAAGCTGCCCCCTACGGACTGCTGCACCAGCAGCTCTTGTAAAGGGCCAAGCGCTGCCGTGGGGTAGCTCAAGTGTGACAACAACTTTCAATGGCTTTACGCACTGAGAGCTGCATGCTGCGTGTACACGTTAATTAAACTTGCGAGTATAACTATGGGAGTCATTGAGGTTCATCTGTGGAAATAATACAGGATCTCCTCAATATGGCATAAAGAAAGGCGGCTAAAAACACAAAAGTTGCCGTTGCATAATGCCTAGCACCACGAACTCCCAATTACGCGGGCACAAATCGCAAGAGCCAGGGTGCCTAAAACACATTTCTGGCCCTGATCATCACACCAGGCTTTTGGCCAGAAGCGAGTGGAACCTTAGCTGAGCAGCACCACATGCCTGTACGAATGCACGGCGCGGTCTACCATGGATTTTCCTTTTTGCCCAGGCACTCAAGCCAGCATTCGGGATGTAGAAAGAATAACTCGGAACAGAAATGGAGTCTGCTATGACATGTTGTTGCATCTGCAACACAATAACACGAGGCATGATATTGCCTGATATCAACGGCCAAGGCACCTTTGGCCTGGAAGTATCCTCGCACGTGCACTGCGCATCGGTTCAGGCGCAAGCAAGCTCAAGCAGTGCGGGCCTGACATTGCGAGTTGCAGGCTGCGGGACGTTTGCGGACGAAGCGATCCAAATCGGCAGTTTGGAACAATTGTTCCACACCTTACTTGCAAACTTGCAGAATGGCTTCTCGTGGACGAGGCGTGACGAGGAGCTGCTTAGAAAACCGCCATGCTACGATTGCTACTTTCGAAACCAAGGAGCTATCAGCCGTGGCAAAGCGACCTCAGCGCAAAGCAGCATTCCATGCCAACCAGCTCAAGAACCGACGTACAGGCATTCATGTGAAAAGCTCTGTCAAGCTGAGGGGGACACCGACTCTGGCGGGGCAACGACAGGCTGTGGAGCAATTGGGGCCAGCTGCAAAGGATGCGATGGAGGCGATGACGTCACAGGCGGCAAAGGCGGCAGCGGCCGCTGCGAGGTCTCTATCGGCAATGGGATGACCGCAAGAGGGATTGGCGTTGGAGGCGGCGGCAAATTCAGCACCAGGTCCGTGTCAATCTTCGTTATGTTCTTGCAGCCTTGCAGCCCCAAGCCTCGCACATGCGACTTAAAGTTCGCTAAATGTCCCCATTTTTCAGATGCCTTCTCTCCCCGTTCTATTACTCTTCAAGCGATGCGAGAGAGAAATAGAAGGAAAGACAGAAAGAAAGACAGAAAGAAAGAAACAGAGAAAGAGAGGAAGAGAGAGAGAGAGAGAAAGAGAGAAAAGAGAAGAAACACAGGAAGTGGAGAAAGACAAAAACGATCATTTTGAAACTTTGCTATACTTTATCGTCTATACCCGATATATATGTACATATATATATATATGTATATACTACACGCCCCCTCCCCCCCCAGTTTTCTACCTCGTTTTGGTGTCTGTCTGCTTTGTACTACAGATGCTATGATGAAACGTGCTTTTGTATGAAAACTACGTCCGAAGATTAAATCTCATCCCCGGAGATTAGCTCTAATCTCCCCACTTGATTGGAAGATTGAAGAGTGAAGAAATCCTAGAATTTTTTTCGGGCATCTTCAAGCTTCAATCCGGGCAGAGATTTATCTTCACACTCCTTGTGCGAAGCTACTTCTCAATGTGGTTCGACTTTCTTTGCCCTTCGTCCATTTAACTTTCGAACGCAATACGTTTTGATTGTATTCCCATAAATCTTAGAGCTCGAGTCAGGGTTGAGAAGGTGAAGTTAAACCGTATAGTTTGATAAAAGTTGCTATTGGCTGACCTCCGAGTATGTTACTCAAAACTACTCTGTTAGTTGCAGGTTAAGCACGGGGAAGTCATACATTCCTAATGAGAATGTAATTCCAAAAGAAACGCTTTGTCCATAAATGAGATGACAACTTCGCTTTACGCACCGAAGCTCATCTGGCGCAACGTTTCTCCCAGAAGCTGCATTTTCAATATTACCAGCCTGTTCAGAACATACAAAATTTGAGACATGTGCTGGACCTCCGGTTCTGTCAGCACAATTTCAATTACTGACGTGTCCACTTGGAATTACGAGTTTACATTGACACAAATAGATTCGGAGTCTATGAATGGTCTTCTACATAGAAGCGTCTTGAAGAAAGCGAGGTTCTTAATCATGTTCGGCTCTCCCCAACTGACCATTTAAATCAAATTCAGCGCAAGTATTGCCATCAGGGGCTACGTCCTAAGTGAGTTATGATTCAATCTCGCCTCTAACTTAAAACTCTGCCATGAACCTTCGCAACAGGGCTTCGAACAATGGGAGAAAGAGAGGAAGCGGAAATGCACACATAGAACATCAAATCCTCCCCGCCTGCCAACAGCAGCATTGCCAGGAGCCATGCATGCTCCCAAGCCATGTCTTGCACAAACAATCGATGCTGCAAACAGTCATGCGCATACCGGTCTAAGCCCTGAGCAAGCATCAGGTCGAGTGTTGAATGAACCATGATCCCACATGCTTCACACCTATGGGACGAAACATTTATACTGCATCCTGCACAGCCACTCGCCTGCACCGACAAGAATGCGCTCACGCTGCATAGCACTGCTGCTAAACATACAACGAAGCCACCGACAACATCCTACTGCAGGTCTCACCCGACTCCAAAAGCTATGATGTGGACGAGCGCAACCGCAAGCCACTTTTTGCTGACGGGTTGCAAGGCGCAATTGACACACTACGCCTGCCCTCAGCCATTCGGCATGCCCCTGGCCCAGCATATTGGGGCAGAACGTTGCAGATGGCGGCACGCACCATGCCTTGAAGCTTTGCAGGATCCTCAACCCCACCATTCCTTGCTGAGGCGAGCTGAAAGAGCTGGCACTTGCCCTTCAACTTCACATACTTGTTGTCCACGTCGTAGGTCAGAACCAAGCGCACGCTCACATGCCGCATGCTCTTCCATTCCAAACCATTTCCTCACGGTCTCGTGCTCAGGTAAGGTATCATTGGTATGATCATTGGTATGGCCAGGCAGGGTGGTGACATCCCAGTACGAGATTCCCAGGTGCGCACATAATCTCGTGGGCACGCAGGGCTTGTTCCACAGATATCGCGGAAAATTTAACGAGACTTGGATCGTGAAACTCCCCCACAATCTTGCGGACGCGTCGCAAGGGGCCCTCTGCCGATTGGGAAGTTATGAACGAAAACTCGCACCCTTCGCAATCAAGTTTCAAGACCGACAGTTCTTGCAGGGCAAACATGTTGTAGATTCGTTGCAGAGATAAGCAGGGCACGTTCGATCGCACGATCCTTCTGAGAATTCCTCCTTGTATGGGTGGCCAAAGCTCGTAAGTAACGTTGCCTGATTCGCAGGCACCGGCATTCACAGGCCACACTTGTGCGGTGACCTGAGCAAGGAGGCGGGACCTTATGGGACTTATGGGAAGTCCCCGCTGGGTCATACATGTCATGCTTTGCCTTTGTGCCAAGCTACATTGTTGGCATGCAAATTCCATAGCATGAACCGAAAATTTGTCGGGTCCGGCTCCATGGCAATGATGCGAATGCCGGGATACAACCTGGCAGGCAAGGAACACACGGCATCGCCGTGCCAAGCTCGACACATATATGTACATCTACCCATATAGTTTTGCAATGTAGTGTTTCTTGAGCCCAGCCTGGCGAGCCAAACTGCAACCACGCCCACGTTGGCACCAACGTCAAGAACCACATCGCTGTGCCGCAGCGATAATTTGCTGGCTCCATAGTCGTCTTTCTGCAGTTCATCCAGCTGGCCGTGAATACCAAACCTACAACATCGCATATAACACCACGGTAATAACCCTTCATGACGCCAACAACAACAAGCTGAAAAACCCAAACAGTCAACAAACTTCGAACGTCAAGTAACCGTGAAGACTTGAAATCACGCAGGACGAGGGAAATGTCGCCCAACTTCATTTCCACGATCTGTGAACTGGAATTTATCCAAGATTCCCACGAAGATTGCTGCTCTGCAAAAGCAGGGTGGTGGTCGCCTTGGCGGCTGGAATTGTTTTCCGTGAGTGCTGCAAATAACGGCGAGTCCATCATGAACCGTCGGGCAGCAGATGTTGCCAAGTTGCCTTGAGCTCTCACAGGCTCCCTGGGACTGTCCGCAAAAAGCATCGCATACCCTTCAGAAGATGTGCACATGCAAGCATAAAGAAACGGAGCTCCGCCACAAGAAATTAGAAACATGTTGCGCCACAACAGCGACCTTGAGAACAACATTCGCGCTCAGTGAATGCGCCAGAAAAGCACCGCTTGACATCGACAAGCTCACGCATGCAGCATTCGTTTCGTGTAGTTGGCGGCCTCACGAAGCTTTGCCAAAAAAGGGATGCTTGTGCCTTCACACGTTGTGAAAACGCAGCAAATGACATGCTTGCTTCAAGACGAGGCACGAACCCAGACCAAAGCAAGGCGCCCATTTCGCCACGGAATACGCACCGTCCATCTGAAAGAATTCCATGCTATTCCATGTTGCTCGCGCCGCAACAGTACAACACATAAACGGATCCGTTTTTTGCCACATACGTGCCTCATGACTTGCACGCGACCCTGCCTCGAAGTGAACATGTTCGTGCCCATCCCCTCGGGAGCTCACCAGCAAATACGCCGCCGCATACCATTGCACAGTCATGTGGTAACAATGGTTGATGCGTGCATGGACGTTTTCGGGATATGGACAGCCATGAACTGTGTGCCCTGCAGTTGCCACGAGTGAACAGCTATTCCGAAGATGTAACAGCTTTTGATGCAACAGCCAGACATGGTCTCGTTGAAAAACGCCGGAGCCGGCCAGCACTAGCTCTCAAACGCCACTTAGCTGCAAACCGTCCAGTTTTAACCGTCCGTTTCGTTCGTTTCTGCAAGCTCTTGAGCGCATGCCAAAGCACAGGTTCGGCTGGTCAAACGCAGAGACATCTTGGAGCTTCAAGTCGCGGAACATTTCCCAAAAAAATGCTTGCAAACGCTCGTCACCAGCGCCTCGACCAGCCAATGGAGAAGATCACTGCGGGTCCCCCCATGCAGCGGCCTGGACCTTGTCGCCTTGCCGGCGCCCGCCGGTTTGGACTCAGGGCGGGCGCCCAACCGCCCCTAGTTTCAGATGCGCTCACTTGTCGGCCGCATGGTGGTTTGCCCGCCTATTTCCGCGCAGGACTACGGTCTCGAGTTGGCGAAGGCATTTTGGCTCAAGCCATGTTGGGGCGTGGTAGTATGCGTGAAGCTGGTGGGATGTTTGCTGTGGTGCACGACGCCCTCTGAAAGTAGGGCATTGTCAACTGCATCCCTATGCCGCGCGATATGAATCGCATACCTATGGCACTGCAAACTGATGCGCCCGGCCAAGGAGCTGCGGGAAACCACAACCGATAACGAGGCAACTACTTCTTTCCTTTTTTTCCTCACGGCTCCTTTCCCGCAAGCGAATCTCTATGTACAAGGCCAGTCATCGTCGAGACCCCTCGTCGCCGCCGCAGCCTCAGTGGCGGCTGGCAGGCGGCTGGCGATCACCGGGAAGGTGTGGCGGGCCTCCGCCAACACTTCCGCCATAGGCGGCTGGCTCAGTGCCATCGCATCAAGGGGCTTCAACAACGACCAAGCCAGGGCACGCTGGGCGACAGCCAACATTCCCGCCCAGCGGTGGCACGCCGCGTGGCGCGCAGACTGAAGGAGCTGCGCAGGAGCTGCGCGGGCTTTCGAAGCCGCCAAGCATGGAGGAAATCCGCCAGCTCAGCGCCGAAACGGCCGCCTACCTCGACTGCCAGGAAAACCAGCCGGCAGCGGCGGGCCGCCAGTAGCTCAGGGTAGGTGGCTTGGCGCTTGCATCATCCCGCATCGGCAGCATCGGCAGCAGCTCTGCCGGGGACGCAATCGGCCCCCGTGCGACCCGTCCCGCGACACGGGGCTGACGAAGGTCGTGTCAACCGCCACCTGGGCACCCTGCCACCAGGGCTGTATTGCCCTCATGCTGTTTCAAGCACGTAACCTACTACAAGAAGCGGTCGCGGAAGCTTGTTGGAATGCAAGTCCTGACTTTTGGAGTCAAGTACATAGCCAAGTGCAGAGCCAAAAACCATCGACTCAAGTGCATAGAGCCAAGCGCCCAGCCAAGCGCAAAGCCAAAAACCATCGAGTCAAGTGCAGAGAGTCAAGTGCGCAGAGACAAGTGCACAGCAAGGTGAAGAACCAAGAACCATAGAGCCAAGTGCATAGAGTCATGTGCATAGCCAAGCGGAACATGTCGAGCCGACGACGATCTTTTTGTTCAACGCTCCTTTTTCAACGCAGCATGTGTCTCCAGTCAATGTCGGGGGCTCGGTGGGCGAGCGGGGACCACACCGGCACTAGTACGATCATCCGGTGCCACTCCCGAGGCAATATTGTGCGTGAGCCATCGGGCGACGCCGATCCACGCATGATCCACGAGCTTCGCCCGGCGTGCGATCAACCTGGTGCGTGGGCACGCGATGGCGTCTCCTCGCCTGCACGCTGCCATTGGCAGCGAACATCTGCGGTGGGGGCACTCCGGGCTACGGCTTCACTCGTGATGCGCGTTTCCCAGATGGCGGCATCATGGGCTGCAGCGTATCCGGCGACTTCCCGGGGCGGCACTGTGCGGGGCGCGGGGTTGCATGACGCGCACAGCGCCAGCAGCAGTCACGCGCGCTGGCAGGGCTGACAATTCGCGGAGCTGCCGTTGCTCTTCGCTGAGCCGCTCGCTCGCCCATGTTTGGATGAACGGGGTGGCCGCCAATGAGCACGCCGAGCACTATGAACCCGCGTTCCTCAGGTGGTGTCCCCGCGCCACACGTCGGGTCCCAAGCTCGGCGACCTCGGGCGGGGCCGTCGCACTGGACCAGCCGAAAATGCGCGTGTTGCCATGGCTGGATGCGACGCTGCACGTGGCTTCCACCTCCCCTGCGGCGACGTCGCGCGCGACCTCTGGGTTGTCCAAAAGCAGAGCGCTTCTTACTCACTTCTTCGACCTCCGGGCGCAAGCGAATCTGAGCAGCGTGTAGCGTAGCGTGTTGGCCGAAGGCGCGCAGCGCCGGGGCGTACAGCGCCGGGGCGTACAGCGCCGAGGCGAAAGGATCCTTTTGCTCGCCCTCCCCTTGGACCACCGTTTTGCACGAGCCTGCCAAATCCCACCGGTATTTTGTTTCTTCTTCGTGCCTGTTTTCCACCTGCGCGTCAGAAAGAAGTCCAAGTCCCCGGCAACCCCCGGTGGCTAGGCCTGCAGGGCCTCATCGCAGTGGCAGCCTGCTGGGCGCCGGGAGGACCTCAGCTAGCGGCACGGCGCTGCATCGTCCAGACTCCAAGCACGGCGCTGCAGGCCGCTCGCTGGACAGCAACGGCCAATGCCCCCCGCGCGTGGGGAGGCCATGTGCTGCGGCGCAACCCTCGTGTCGCCCGTCCAAAGCGATGGCAGCCCCCAAGCTGGTGCGCCCGAGCGGGACGGGGTCGCACTTGCGGTGGCGCAGCGCCGCAAGCTCGCGCGGTACCCCGAGCTCACCCGCGGGAAAACCCGCATCGCTTATGCGTTCTAGCCGCTGAAATCGGGGGGCGCTGGAACGACGAGTCCCAGCGTCTCGTGCAGCGCCTCATCGCACCGCGCGCGCGCCGGGCACCAACCTGGAGCAGTCGCCCAGGGATGGGCGCGTCGCTGGTGGGTATGACGAAGTCGAGCCTTCGGCGACCATCTGCGGCTACCCCAGGCGCCGTCGTATTGGCCAGCCACTGCTGTAGCACCACTCGCCCCTCTGCCCGATCGCCTCCCTCACAACCTGGATCCAAGCTCTCTCGAGCACAAAGCCGTGGCGAGCCAGCAGGCCAGTGCACGGGCACGCCCGGGCATGGTTTCCCCTGTCGTCTACGAGAGCGTGGCAGCCGGGCGCTCTGCCTCCTCCACACCTGGCGCGTGTAGGAGGTAGGGGCAGACGCATTCGGTGCCGGAGCGCGAGGTGCATGAGGTCTGGCGCGGGGTCGGCAGGGATGGCGGCGAGCCATGCCCCTGCATGTGAATGGCTGGCAGCAAGACCCGCTCTCGGAAAGAAGTGTGGAGTGCGAGAGCACCATCCTTTTGCCAACCATTCGCCCAGACGCCGGACCAACCTCTCGCGAGCTGTGCGCAAACACACCTCCCATCCGGGCCGGTGGCCCCATCCTTGCTCGTCGAGGTGGATGCCTGCAGCCGCGGCAGCTTGGAGCTTGCAGGCAACGCTCGACCGCTTCGGGACACCGCTGTTGCAGAACAGGCAGTGCATCCGCCCATGCCACCCAATAGCCTGCAGGCGAGAGGCACTCCGCATGCGAGAGGCCCAGACCCCCAAGGGAGGCTGGCAGGACCTGTATTACTTGGAAGGGCGCCCGTAAAAAATCGGACGAAGGGTAGCAAGCTCGAGGCCTCATCCTACAGAGCTGTCAAAAAGGACTCGCGGGAGACCGTCCAGAGTTTGCCACGTGTTCTCCCGTTCGAACAAAGCATGACATGCATTGCGATACAGCCTTTGCTCAAGACGGCGTGGTGCGCAAGCATAGAAAGAAAAACAAACAAGAACTGCAAGCAACGAAAATCAAAGCCTGCATGCTTTGTCATCGAGCATGAGTTTGCATCAAGCGCACCTTTCCCAAGACAGCGTGGAGCGCAGCGCCGGGGTGCGGCACGACCGGCCGCGGAGGACATCACGTGATGTCTTTTTTTTTTTTTCTGATCCGTCTGTCCGTCCTCCGTCCCTTCCAGCCTAAGTGGTGCGTCCGAGGTGCAGATTCGATCTCCTGAAACATCGCCTCAAGTCATCTGCAAACCTAAACACGCAGGGCCCCGCAAAGGGTTGCGCGATGTTGCGCGCACCGCAAAAACACACGCATTTTAGCAGCACGTCAACCACGCCGATCCCCGCAGAGGGTTGCGCGCGCACACGCATTTTGGCACCTCGACCACACCGATCCCGGCAGAGGGTTGCACGGCAACAAACAAAAAGAAAACACATGCATCTTGGCACCCGAGGGTTGCAATCCCGATCGATGGCGACGACGCCACCTCCCGCTTAAAACCAAAAATAATAATAATAATAATAATAATAATAATAATAATAATAATAATAATAATAATAATAATAATAATAATAATAATAATAATAATAATAATAATAATAATAATAATAATAATAATAATAATAATGATAGTAATAATAAGAGGGAGAAGGAGAATAATAACAATAAATGCCGAAATCTATGTTTTTTTTTTTGTATTTCTCTGCGTTTGACGGAGCACTTGGCTATGCACTTGACTCTATGCACTTATCTCGATGCTCAAATCTCTGCGTCTGAGGGTACTCTACGGCGTCACCCCCTCGGGTTGTGCGTTGTGCTGCGAGGCGACGCTGGTCTTTCTCCCCCGGACAGCCACAAGGCCGCGCAGCCGAGCAACACGGGGCCTCGCTGGCTGCC